GTGACAAAAGGAATGTTTTCTGTTAACCTTTTGAATAAGTTGTTTCTCATAAAAAAATCAATCTTTGGAGCTATAGAAAATGAGTAACATTATGAGAAATCCATAGTATAAAATTATAATAATGAGTTATTATATATTATATATTATATATTATTATATATTATATATTATATATTATATATTATATATATTATGATGATTAATTATAATAATTCTAATAAAATGCATTGAAATGCATTATTATATTTTCCTGGACAACTGTGTGAATACATTCTGTGGATAATTCTACCACTGAGAAAATATAGTTTATATAATTCCAGAGAATATATTATTATTATTATTAGGATTGAAAAAAAAAGAGAAAAGATGGCTATTCCATCATATCGAATATATGATGGAATCATCCTCACTGTGAAAAACATGCTTCACTTCCAGTTTTAATTTGTCTGAGTTTAATTTCCAGCCATAAATTAATTGGATCCGTTTGTCTGTCCTACATTCAATATGTAAAGAAGAGTGCATGTCAAATTGAGAAGTATGTGAAAAATATGAGTGTTAATAAAAACATTCATGTACAACATTGAATTGAGAACTCTGATGGTGTGTCTGCTTGTCTCCAGCATCATCTGATGTTTTTGCTAACTGCATCTTTTTGAAACATAAACATTTTGGACTAAAATTCTGCTTGTGCTCTCATAAAAATGATTCTGTTTGAGCAGATCTGAGCAGAATCCTGGCAATTCTCACTGTATCACGAAGGAATGATTAGAGGAATTAGTTTTCCCCACAACTGACCTCCCGCACCATTCACCATGTTTTTAGATATGATTTGAATGAAATACAGCTGGCATTTGACACACACAGCATGAAAGGGATATAATCTTCAGAAGTGTGCACATTTATTATGTTTTGGAGGTGAAAACCCATCACTTGTTTGCATTAGCATTTTGAGGTGTGTGTGCCTATCATAACAAAAATGGCATGAACAATGAAAAGATTAAAAACATATGTAATCTTAAATAAAATCTGACCAAATATCAACAATGACACAAAGAGCTTTCCCCAGCACATGTTATAACCAAGTCCATGCTCACTCCACCCATCCCTTCAGGAAGAGCCTGCGTAAATAGATAGGCTTTCTAAGAGCACACAAGGCTAACAAGTCCAGCCTCTATAGACCAAGTTTGCTGCTGAAATTCCTCATCAGGAATGTTTTTTTGATATCCTCCCTCTGCCATGAGTTTGGGGATGTGCGGGTCAACAGATGTGATTTCAGCTCTTGTGGTGCTAGGTAATGAAGGGTGAAGATCTTAGAAAGAGCTTGTATTATTAGCCAGTAGAGACACAGTAGTTTGATAACAGAATGAGTGATCTCATTTCTTGGACTGAACCACAGAGAGAGAAAATCAATCTGTAATGCATGTAGCATGCAGACCATACAGGCTTCCTTCTAGGAAAGGTGTGCTGAAAAGTGCTTGCTTTATAGGTAGAATTGCATCTAGCTGAAATGTATCTTGTGAGGCAGTTTTAGGTATGTTTTGTTACATGGTGGGCTACGTGATAGTTGATCTTTTTATTTACCTTTTGAAAGATGACAAAGAATTGGGATACAGCAGATTTGGTTTAGAAGCGATGGTGAACAGGTAGTTCTGCAGTTTATTAAATTTCTCTTTAATCAGAACAGAGACCACATTTTCCCCATATATTTATAAATGCCTACTGTAGCAGGCCTCTGAATTTGATCAGTAATATCAGTAATAGTAATATAACAATATTAGGCAAGAAACCATAAAACTGAAATGCCTTAGATAATGTTTGAGCTGACTGGTGGTTTCAAGTGGAAACCAATTGAAACTGAATTGTATGAAATAGTTTCAGTCCCATCATTCTAGCTGTTACCAAGTGTCTTGCTGGGCTGTAACTTTATCCAAATTTAATGCTCAATGTGAAATTTGCGGGGCGCAGAACCTCTCAGAACAAATTCTGTGATAGATAGCCCCACTGCTTGTATTCACAGTCCAACAGTTACCTATAGCCCTTGTCTGTAGAGTGTGCACATTCAGCCTGAGGGTAAGGTTTTGATCTTATTGAAATAATCAGAAGATTTGTTGTTGACTTCAACAGATTTCAGTCCTGGAGATGTAAAATTATCCTGTCCACTCAATTGGCTGGAATATCTGTTACAACTTGTTTTTCCTACCTACCACATTGGGAAGGATCCTGCTGTAGTGCTCTCCTGTATTTAAATTGCACTGTATGTAGAATATGGTAGACATTGGTACTAATGCTTTATCTGAAGGACATAGTACACACAGGTTACAGTCTCTTTCCCATGTCAGAAACAGGAAGGGGGTGATAGGAGAAGCAGCTAACAATATGCTTTTTTCTTTTTTTGCAAGTTAGATCAAGTGTGTGTTATCTTTGGTAGCAAGGTAGAGGGTAGTTTCCAAGTCATCTTTTCATCTGAATGGTTAATAGGAGGTATCACGTATCAGAAGACTTGGCATACTTCTTTGACATCATGCTGTTCTCTCATTGCTTTGGATAGCTGGAACAGCTAACTGTAGTGAGACACTTGCCTGCAAGGACTTTGAACAGTTATGCAGAAAAAGACGAATGTAAGATTAGCTTAATTTAGTTGCAGGGTATGTACTGTATGCTGAGCAGCAAGGCTTTTCTCCAAGGGTGGAGAAATACCAAGGGTGGCCAGCATGGATCGTTAGATTTGTGTCTATCTTACAAAGAAGAGCTTAAGTTTTGGCCTCATACTTTATTATTTGTTTCCTATTTTCTTAGGTATAATGAATGTTTAAAGACATAGGCGAGTATCAGAAGTGCTCTAAAGATCTCACAAATTAATTTACTTGTGACATATAGCTAGGGAGAGCTATAGCAGTAGGAGAGCATGTGAGTCAGGGTGATTCTTCTTGCAATACAAAATGGATGAGTGGACGGGCTGTGAACTCCTACTGTTTGTCTTATTGTTTGCATCACGGTTAGTGTCTGAGGACCACTCCGATCTGTTCGAGATGAACTTGCCTTTCTGAGTCAAGTAAAGCAGCCTTTAGAAATACAATCTGGGAGGTGGTTTAAGGTAATTTTAGAGAAAGTGTGATGCAGAAATATAAAACTGATATTAGTTAGTCATATCTGTATTTCCATCAGATACTATAGATGTGTCACGTGCCTATGATGTTGAACAAAAGTGAATACTTGATGAGCTTTATGAGTAGTGCCCGTTATCTTGATGTGCTTGCTTACTGTAAGAAACCATTGTCATGTGCAACGAGACAATGGATGTGCTTGAAAGGACTTTGAGAAAGACTGTCAGCTTTCTTATCAGAGGATTTGTGTGGTAAGTGTCCGAGGACAGGAAATATATATTGGCTTTATTTGGTTTATTTATTTATTTACTTTGTCCCCTCTTTTAGTTTTCTGAGCAGCTGGTAGTTTTAAAAGATTTTAAGAAATTGTTGTCCCCAGTGCTGTCTAGGAATGTTCTGTGTATATGCAGACAGAAGGACAAACTACTTCATCCTCCTCTGGTCTCACCGCAGACAACCCCTGAGCCATAGGCAATGGGAATTGACTCACTCATGGCTATTATCCAGCTGCCGCAGGCTAAAAGCAAAGGTCCTGTGCCCTCACATTTCAAGTTCAGAAATAAAAAGATCACAGGCTTCTTGTAACCAGAATGTCTTACTAGTGACTGGGATTTCTATGATCAGTTTGCCAGTGCATTTTTATTTCAGAGTCTCTTTCTTTCCTGTAGATTAGAGACCAGTTTATTCTTGTATTCATAAGTTTTCTGTTCTTTGTATTCCTGAATGGTTATCTCTGTTTAAATTATTTACAAATGGTAGAAAGTATTTTTCCTTGACTTTTCTGGCTCACCTGCTTATTTTTCTTCTCCATTTCCTCCCTCCTTCCTTAGCACAATGCTTTATGGTCATTCTGCTCAAGGTTGTCATTCTCTTTGAGAGGGACTGTTTTGTAAAAGGAGAAGAGTTACAAGCTCTTGAAGTGGAGCATGAAAATAGCAAATCAGAGCCTCAGAGCATTAAGGCCAAGAAAAGTTGCACAGGATTAAAATGCTGTTCAAGCTCTGGCAAGTGTCTCAGCTTTACCCTGAACCACTTTGGTGTTTTTTAACTTGCATTTTTAAACTTAAAAGAAAAATTGGGACAGTTGCATAAGTTGCAAAGTTGCAGAAGCAATGCTTTCTCTCTCTCTCTTTTTTTTTTTTTTTTTTTAAGCAAAGGAAAGCAATGCCTATGTAAAAATGTCATGAGAAGGCAATGAGAGAGATTTAGACTCAGAGAGCTCAATTTATGAGTGAATCAAAATGTTTCTGTTCTTTGAAACACAAGCTTTGATAGTGCTTGCTTTGAACACATGCGAAGTTCTTTGCACTGCTGTGCAGCCAACTTAAGTGAGTGATTATAGAAGGAAGGGTGACATCTTAAACGTTATTTATCGGACCACTGCCAGAAGCAAAATAATGTCAGATGTCATTCAAAACCAAACACTGAGAGAAGCACTGTCATACATATATGTCCCTGCTTTTCTAGTCCTTCATTTTTGGTATAATGTCACCATGTTCATAGTGTTATATTTGGTGGAGGCTACTGAAAGGTTGCTAAGCTGTGACCAGTTTCAGTTACGTGGGCTTAGGAGATAGTCTGCTCAGACAGTGTTGTGTGCAGAATCATGATGTAGTCCTGCAGGGTTTGCTTTACTGTAGAGCTGGAGTATCTTCCAAGAGCAAACTAACAGTACAGTGCAGGCACTGTCTTTGCTATGACTATTTTGTGATATTTGTTTTTGTATGTTGTGATATATGTTTTTGCATTTGTTTTTGTATGGAAAATAAAATTGAGCTCCAAAACATGCAGCAGACACCCTAATGGAGCTCAAGTCAAATCCTTTTTGCCGTTTTAGAGTGACACTGTCCTACACACTACAGCCCCTTTATTTGTGGCTCTCATGCTCTGTTGCAGGCTATCCTACCAGAGAAACGATGACGATGAGGAAGAAGCCGCCAGAGAACGTCGCCGACGGGCTCGACAGGAGAGGCTGCGGCAAAAGGAAGAGGGTGATCTATCAGGGGAAGTAACAGAGAAATCAGAAGTTAATGCCCAAAATAGGTAAACTTTTAATGACATTTACTGATGAGTCAATGATACTTTTTGTTCAGAGGAGAAACATATTTTAAAGGGCTTTATTGTGCTACTTAAATCTTGAATTCCAGGTTTGCCCACTTCACTCTTTTGAGGGCCAAGCACTGTGAGGAGTACCAAACCACAGCAAAGTGGGAATATCACTGAGACTAGGCATGAGCCATTCCCATATTTATTTACTAAGTGTGCTCAGGGCTATTGAGATAATTCATTGTCGTTCATGAGGGGAAATACCTACAGTGCCTCCTGTTGGTAGTTCTCTCAGACGTACGCGTCTGCTCTGTGTATAGGTTGTAGTACTTTACATCTGACTTGACCAAGCTCCTCATAGTCCATCTTTTCTGATGACAAGTACATATAACATTTGATAGAAGAGACCATAAGTATGCCTTGGTAAATCAAATATTGATCTCAAGTAGTAGAATCACAGAATGGTTCAGGTTGGAAGGGACCTCTAGAGATCATCTAGTCAAATCCCCTGCTCAAGCAGGGACACCCAGAGCACGGGGCACAGGGTAACATCCAGGCGAGTTTAGAAGATCTCCAGAGAAGGAGACTCCCCACCTCCCTGGGCAGCCTGTGCCAGGGCTCTGGCACCCTCACAGGAAAGAATTCCTCCTCACATGGAGATGGAACTTCCTGTGTTTCAACTTGTACCCATTTCCCCTTGTCCTGTCACTGGCCACCACTGAGAAGAGTTTGGCCCCATCCTCCCTACTTTCTCCCCTCAGGTATTGGTACATACTGATCAGATCTCCTCTCAGTCTTCTCTAGGCTATACAGGCCCACAGCTCGCTTGGTCTTTCCTCATACAAGACATACTTCAGTCCCTTAATCATCTTTGTCCCTCTGTGCTGGACCTTTTCTGGAAGCTTCGTGTCCCTCTTGTACTGTCCTCAGAACTGCACCCGATACTCCAGGTGTGGCCTCACCAGAGCTGAGGAGAGGGGCAGGATCCCCTCCCTCGACCTGCTGGCCACGTTCCTCCTGATGCAGGCCAGGATCCCATTTGTTTTCTTGGCCGCGAGGGCACACTGCTGACTCATGGTAGCATTCTATTAAATACAAAAAGAATGGATATGGATTAAAAAAAATAGCAACACTTGGTTGCAGGTGATGATCTTTATTCCAGTGCCAAGTAAAACCAATTAGAAAGAGGAAGGAAACCTGAACATAGGAGAATTAGCTGAATTTTGAAGAAGTCAGAAAATATATAGAGACTGAAAGTGAATTCCAATTCTCCCACCTGACAGTGTTAAGTAGCATGTCTCAGCTTAGGTCACATTTTTTAAAGGAATACATGTCCTTCTGCAAACAATCACAACTGTACCTCACTGTAAATTGACAGTTTTTTTCATGATGGGCAGCCTGTGGATATTGTTGCTGAACAGGAATAGCTACCTACTCATTGCTAGAGATGGTCACTGAAGTCAGAGCATGTCTTGCTTGAGTAGCATCTTCAAGGATTTTGCCTCGTAAGAGGACATTTGTGAATAAGAACAAGAATTCTGCATGAGGGCAAGATGAAGGAAGGGATCCTTAAAGCAAGATGAGGTCTTCCAAATGTTCTGTTATCAGATGCAGATTGGGAGGATGAATTTTTTAGGCCTCTTTCTATTCAGTTGTTCCAAGCATCGGGGACCAGTCCATACCCACTGAAGTCCATAAGATTCCCCAGGACTTCAGCAGCTCCAGGAGCACAGCTGGAAGGGATGCTTTTCAGGATGACAATGTGAACACTCATATTGCTATACATATAGGAATGCCAAATTAATCTTCAGGACCAGTTTGCTAAATTTCAAAGTACTCAGCCTATTCTGTTTTTACATCATGGAATGATACAGTGAGCTTTTCTCTAAACACAATTGAGTTAATGTCTTGTTGGAAAGGCTTTTTTAATGCAAAATTTTTGCTTTTATGTAGCGTGGCAGAAGAGGAAACCAAACGTACTACAACCACAGGTGGAACAGATGATGATGCTGCATTCTTGGAGAGACTGGCAAGAAGGGAGGAGAGACGTCAAAAACGTCTTCAGGAAGCCCTGGAACGTCAAAAGGAATTTGATCCAACAATCACAGATGAGAGCTTGTCACTATCAAGCAGGAAAGAAGTAAATAATGTGGAAGAAAATGAGACCACAGGGAAAGAGGAAAATGCAGAAACACATCAAGGTCACGCTGAGAATGAGGAAACGAAGCCACACCAAAGGAATAACTGGAGGCAAGATGGGGAAGAAGAGGAAAAAAAAGAAGAAAAAGACAAAGAGGAGATACAGGAGGAGAAACCAAAGGAGGTACCTGTGGAGGAAAATCAGGTAGACGTGACAATAGAAAAACCCATAGATAAAGAAGAGGCGGTAGAAACAAAAACTTTAGCTGTAAATGCAGAGGAATGCAAAGCAGAGAATGATACTAATGCTGTGCTGGAAGGGGAGCAGAAGGGAGAAGAAGAGGCTATAGATAAGCTTAGAGAAGAAGAAAAGGAAAAGGCTGAGGAAGAACGGAAGAAAGCGGAAGAAAGGGAGAAACTTGAGGCAGAAGAAAGGGAGAGGTTAAAAGCAGAGGAAGAAAAGAGGGCAGCTGAAGAAAAACAGAAAGCAGAGGAAGAAAAGAGGGTAGCTGAGGAGAGAGAGAGAGCGAAGGCTGAAGAGGAGAAGAGGGCAGCTGAGGAGAGAGAGAGAGCGAAGGCTGAAGAGGAGAAGAGGGCAGCTGAGGAAAGAGAGAGGGCTAAGGCCGAAGAGGAGAGGAGGGAGGCTGAGGAAAGAGAGAGGGCTAAGGCAGAAGAGGAGAGGAGGGCAGCTGAGGAAAAAGCAAGGGCTAAGGCAGAAGAGGAAAAGAGGGCTGCTGAGGAAAAAGCAAGGGCTAAGGCAGAAGAGGAAAAGAGGGCAGCTGAAGAAAAGGCTAAGCTAGAAGCAGAGAAATTAAAGGAAAAAAAAAAGGTAGAAGAGAAAAAGATGGAAGAAAAGAAAATAGAAGATAAACAGGTAAAAGAGAAGAAAGTACAAGAGGAAAAATCTAAAGCAGCTTTCCTAAGAAAACAGGTACAGTAAACATTTTGCACCAGAGCAAAGACACCTGTGGTTTGTGAGAAATGTAATGCAAGAAAAAAAAAAAAAAAGATTGGATTGGAATTTCCTCACATTTCTACTCCTTCATTTAAATAACTAATACTTGTGCTCTTCCTTACTCTCTCTTTTTACACTTAAGTCCCTTATTTCTGCTTATCGGTAATGCAGCATGCAACACACCTAACCTAACTTCACTGTACAGAGAAAACTTTGCATGTTCAGACCTCTGCATGTTTTTTTTGCTGCCATCTTTAATGATTGTTGTAAGCTGGCCTGATGCAGTACACATGAGGTTTGGGCAAGCACAGAGTGATGCAAGATCTGTAAGCTTGGTGTGAGGAACATGTATGTTAAGTGCAACCCTAAGTGAGGGGTCTCTCTGCTGGGACATGTAAGCATGATGCCACATTGGGGAGGAAGGCTAAAGCCGGGAATGGGAGCTTGTGGAGAGGAGGGAGGGAGCGAGCACAGCTGCACGTGGAGATGTGGCACAGCAGCTTTATGGAGGAGCTGTGGATGCACGCTGATCTGGTACATGAGCACAGTGTGGAAAAGCACAGACGCAAAGGGATGCTCGTAGAACAATGTTCAACTTAAAAATTATTAAAAAACCCAAAACCAAGGGGGAAGAAAAAGAGGTTAAAGTGGAAGCTCAGAAGGAAAAGGATGAGAAGCTTCGACCTACCTCCAAAAAAGATCAGGTAAAATTTAAACCATTCATTTAGAGGTTGTAAAGAAACTCGAGATAAGAAAATAAAAAAAGGCTATATATCTGAAAATATCTTGTTCAGCATAGTACTTAAGTATGTGCCTCACTCTAAGAACATGGGTAATCTTGCTGAAATAATTAGGGATGAAGCTACTTATGTACTTAACTTTAAGTGAATGCTTAAGTGTTTTGTTATTCTTGGGCCTTAGAACCAAGTCCTGTTTGTCATAATCAGAACAAATGTTCAGTGAAGCTCAGTTCAGTCAGTAACACAAGGATGACTTGGACTCTAGCTATAGATTTTTCCAGACTTTGTCAACTAATCATCTTCCCTAGTTTCCTCCCACTTTACTGTGAACTTTTTCCCTGTGACTGAGACTTACTCTCATAACAATAATAGTAATAATAATAATCTAGGTCCCTTTGGCCACTGACTGCCTTAACTAATTATTTTCCCCAAAACTGCAATGTCCCATAATATAAACCATGCATACCCAAGATTCTTCTTTTGTTTTGAAGAGAAATTCTACAAAATTTACTGCATTGCATTTCCACTGTAAACACAGGACCTGGTGCCATGGTGTTTTACTGTATGGTAAGTAAATAAGATTTGGGAGCCCTTTACACTCAGATTGCAGCAGAAAGACACATTCAATGTTATGTAGCAACTGTGCTATCAGTTCAATACAACAGGTATCAAAATACCCACTGATTCTAATTGCATAGTGAGACTGGGCAAGACCTTGCAGGTTGGGACTCATTTGGGTTCATCTGGGTCTGAACAGCTGAAGCAGATCACAACGTAGAGATTTGATAAAGGTTTGCTTGGTGCCTGTGTGGTTGCTGTGGGGCCCTGAGGCTAGAGGCTCTGCTGCCGTGGGGGACAGCAGGAGGGGGTCCAAACCTGTGTCCTCTGCTGGAAAATAGCTTGATTAACTCACAACAGACAATAAATGCTTAACTCATTCTCACAGGTAGGTGGAGGCAAATCATGTGATGAGATTTTATATTTAGTTGTTGGAGTCAGTGTCTAATGCGTTTCTTGAGTACGGTACATGTGAGATTGAAAAGGTGAATGAAGTAATAGAGATGATTAGAAGAAAAGTATGTAACAAACAGAGAGAGATTGGCAAAATTCTGGAATTTACTGAAAAATTTACTCTGGAAAGGGGAAGAATTAAAAGAGAGCTAATAGAGGTGCTTAAGAACAGTGCTTTGGAAAAACTTAGCAGTTTCTCTGCTTTATAGCCCCTGATTATAAAATGACAAAAAGGAGCTGTGCAAAAATTTAGAGATAGTTGTATGAAAACCTTTATACAACAGAACTAGTCTGTAATACTGGACTTTTACAGAAAATCTTTGAATATTGTAAGTAATTTTAAAAAGGGAGCTCTAGTATAGCTGCAGACATCGATGGGGATGTTGAGGTAGAGGTATACCTGAGATGTAGTTGTCGTGCTTGTGTTTATCTGGAGCTTGCTCAACTCTCTCTGGAGCTCCTGTCATCCTTTTAAACCGTGGCCACAGGGCTGGATTCTTCCAGGAATTTGGTAAGACTTTTAAAAGCAACTCAAAAGCCCCCCATTGCTGGTACGATGATGAATACCTGTCCATTGAAAAGTAGATCTCTTGCATGTGTATCAAAATAAGCATTCAAAGTTGGTTGTTTTTGCATAATCATTCAAGATCTCACATTTTTTTAAAAACTTCTTTTGTTGTTTGCTGCCTTGGAAGAAAAATTTGCAGTTACATACTTATCAAAATTAGTGTTCAGAATGATTCCTCATTTTTAAAAATATCTATTATTGCTTCCTGCCTTGGGAAGAAAAAATCTCAGTCTCAGACTGCAAACAGAATCAAGATGATCAGGCTCCCATCTTTCCCCCTTCAAGTATATCCAGATTCAACAAGGACTTTTTTTAAAACATATATTCAGTTGATAGGAGTGTATAATGAACAAGATGCTGAGGAGTACCGTGTCTCTGCAAAGTCAGATTTGTGCTTCTGTAATTACGCAACACAAGAGTATATCCTTTCTTATTGTGACCAGAATCTGGCCCTCAAAATTTATGTTTTAATCAAATTAGCAAACAAAATTTGTCTCCTTTTCTGAACTGCCCCGCAATTTTAGGTTCTCAAAACTGGACTGGAAAGCTCATAATAGCAAACATTCTCATGATGTGAGACTCCTGGTATTTCCTGCTCCCGGTTTGGCTAGACACGCTGTAACAGTTGCTTTTCTCATGGTATTTGGGTATAGTAGTTGGCTGTAAATGGAAGCCTAGCTAGACCAAGAAATCCACAGCTTTTCAGACTCATAAGAAACTCAAATACAGGATCAAATTTGTCATATGGCCTCAACCTTAGTAATTGATTCCCTGCAGCTTGAAGGTGTTCAAACTCTAGATTAGGAAACTTGACTCTCAAGTACTAAAAAAAAAATCCTAAGCAGGAAAGAAGCTATACAGAGAAAGATTAACATATACATACATGAAATTGCAAATTAGCTAAGCATCAAAAAGACTTTGATAGTGTTCTATTTTGACTTGAGAGTCAAGATTGGAGGGAGATTGAAGGCAGTTTGCTATTTTAGATAATAACATCCATCCACTACTATGGGAATCAGTGTGGTCCTTTTCATTAAACTTAGTAGAAGCTGAATTAGCCTCTAATTCAGTGAAACACTGAAATGGGTAAAGATGCTTTGTGGCATTCCTCTGGAATGGGGAAAAAATGGTTCTGGATTCTGTGCAAATCAATCACTATTTTGTCATTAAAATTAGTAGGAGCAGCACTGGGCCCTAAAGCTGTGAAATGTTTCTGTAATAACTTGTTTTGTCATTCTTTAAAGAAGCCAAATGATATAATGGTTTTCTCAAATACAAACATGCAACTATAAATCCTGCTGACTTCTAAAAAGTTATTTCCTAACCTATAAATTTTTAAACTATATTGTGTTAATATAAGTTTTTTCAGCCATTTCAGTTAAGATGTAAGAGATATGGCCCTGCCCAGTAGACTTCAATACATCAGGCAGCTGGAAAAATTGACTTTTTGATGAATCTTTGAAAGATCTTGGTGGAAATTTCAGGAAAGGAAATCCTTTACTCTCCAAATACCGACACAGACATCCTGGTATTTGAAATGCTGCAACAATCACCTACAACACCTACAACAATCACCTGCAACAACACCCCTAGTCTCAGTATCACACTGCCTGGGATTGAAGGTTGAGGAGATAGTGCCAGCGAGCGCAAAGCCAGCAGAGCTTTGCACTGTGAGCATGTCCGTAGCTAGGATCTGGCCCACATTTGGGAGCATCCAAAAGTCTTTGCTGTCCGATGGCATTCATTAGGCTCAATGAATGGAATTGGTTGTCTCAGCTCCTAGAGAACAGACAGCCCTTCCTGAGTCTGCTCGCAATACCGGCCTTGTTTGCTGGCAAGTCACAGCATCATGGCCAAAGAATGTACGGTCACGGAAATTGGACTCCCCTCTTGTCCGCTGGAGTAGTTCTGCCAGGTCATAACTAGCGGCCCTTGGCAGGACAGCACAGGGAAAGCTTGCACGCCTGCTGCCTGTTCACACGACAGAACAGATTTCTTGGTGGTTTGTGTCTAGTCAGTGGCAAAGTTGCTCAGATTCTGCAAATCCCCATTACTGGCCTGGAGCTTGTGCCACCTTGTCGATATCTATCATATAAATTCATGTGAATGAAAAAAAGAGATCCAGATAAAGTCAGGGCTGATACCGGGACTTCATTCAGTAGCTTGAAAACAACTCTTTGTGAGGATCTTGACTTGAAGACTTTGGAATCATCCCTAGTTAGTGTGGATTTTGCATCTCCAGAAGTTCCTCTTTGTGGAGGAAGGATAGAAATAACAGATTTACAGTATTTCTGCATGTGTGGGAGGAGGTGGTTTTATATTACTAGGAGTAGAATGGAGCTCCTTAAAAACAGTCATGTTCTGGATAGATAAATGTTACCAAAGTTCTTTTTGTAGTTAGAAAATGGGATGGTAATAGGCTTCCAAGACACTGAAGTGCCTTTTAGTAAAGGTCTTCAAATGAATTTTTCACAGAAAAGAAAATGATGCTTGTCCTCTATAATCTTTCTCCAGCATTGTTAGAGCATTAAAAAAAAAAGTTTCATGTGCTGCTATTGAAAATTTATTGAGGCTGATATTGCAACTCAGTTGCCTAGCAGGAATAATTCAGCTTGCAGGACAAATCAATCTATATTCTGAGCTTCCTATCAGCATCAGTCTTTGAATCAGTGTGCTGTGATCTGGCCATTGGTGGCACTGATAAATATCTCAAGCCCACAACAATGGGCATATTGGAGTGTGAATTCATGCACTAAGTATGCTTGATAACAAGCAAAACACAGCAAAGGTTTGTAAGAGAAGGGAGAATTCTTGCTCAGAGTATTTTCTTTTTCCTAGGAATAAATATTCGTGTCTGATAACACCATATATTATAGGCACCTGGCAAGACTGTGCTTTTGGTTAGAGCAACTTTCATGATGCAGATGTAAAGATCATTTTGTCTTCTGACCACTATACTTGTCATGGTGAATTATCTACCAGTTGTGGCACTGAAAACATTAGATTCATTTTGGTAGCACTCCCATGCTGTGCTGCTGAATTGAACTGGCATGCATGAACTTCATCCAACCATCCTGGCAATCACTGAAGGTATTATTTTTATTGCCCAATGCTGGAAGCCTTCTACAGAGACTGTAACAACAAGCCTAGTCCCAAGAAGTTTGCAGTCCAGGATGCTAACAGGTGAATAGTACTGCAGTGGGAGAGAGGAGGATCAGGGTGACCTAGGAAGATGCAGCTGCAGAATGATGTGACATTCCCATGGCCAAACTTTCACAGAACCCAAAGGATTTCGGATGCTTTCATCTTTAAATCATATCTAGAGGACAGGGTGAGGGCTGATAATGTCTTAAAACTTTGCAGACTACCTCTGCCATAAAGTACATTAGCATTTTGAAGACAGTTCTTGGTTAAACATTATCACCAAGAAATCCCTCCAGTATTATTTAAAATACTTACTGTGATTTTTTTTTCCTATGACTTATGTTATCTCCCGAGCAGATAAAAGATGACAAGGATAAAGACAAAGCACCTAAGGAGGAATTTAAAAGTATCTGGGATCGTAAGAAAGGGCTTCCTGAACCAAAAGCACAGAATGGAGAACGTGAACTCCCTGGCCAAAAACTTAAATCTACCGAGAATGCTTTTGGGTAAGTTCCAAATGAATACTGGCTTTATGTTATAGCAGAGCAGGTGACCTTTTCTGTAACTCTGCTCATATCCTTTTAGCAGCTTGGTATAACACTTAAGTTGCAACTGCAGCAGAAGCTGTAATATTCATTGGGTGTTAAAAACTTTTTCAAATGAGATATTTACCTTTCCTGAAATAACATATTTCCAATTACACACTTGCATTGGATGAAACTGCTTGATCAATGTAGAACAGTATCTAGTTTGATAACTCCTGTTTATTATGGCAAGCCTTGAAAATAATGACTGCAGAGTTAATTGAAAATCTCTTCCAGGCATATTTTTTCCGCTTTATAAGCACCATAAAAGCTTCATTTCTTCAGGAAAATACTGGCCTAATGGCTATAGTGGGGAATGTAAACGAAGAATTTCACCAACAAATTGGTGAAATTGATGGTGAAAAGATTGTTAAGGGATTCTACATGCTAATGGACTATACATGAATCAGAGCAGAAGTTCTTCCCTTAATAAAGGCATAGGAATGAAAGGGTTAAAAATGTTCATTTTTTTTTCCTTCTGCACTTCTGTCCCTCTTGTGTGGATGGCGGATGGGTTTTGCTGTTGTATCTCAGCATTACCCTTGTACATCTTCTGGGAAAAGTAAACTTTCTCAAAATAAATGCAGTTCAAACGTCCCTGGAGACACTCTGACTTAAGGCCAAAACACAGATCAAGTGAGACAGCACAAAGATGGAAGAACAGGAAATCAGTCTTCCTTGGAACTGTCCTGTATCTTGAGTTGGGTCACATCATCAGTAACAGGAGAACAATTTTCTAAAAATATTTTTATTTTCATTTGTTTTGCTTCCTGTGGGAGACAGACTTCAGTGGCAACATATAGATATGGGTTTCCACTCTTTTCATTTTTGTTTTTTTTTCCACTGTTTCCCAATGTGTGAAGAAGGGGTGTCTTACCCATGGCTTGTTTTGGAACCATCTTCTTGTTTTTACATGAACATACCAGATGCTAGTAAAAAATCTTTGACTGGGTCTAAATGGTGAGAAGGCAAATAAAACAGGGTCATGTAGACTAGAAAAAAAAAAATCTCCTAAGTCTCATTTGTCCACTTTACTCAATAAAAGAATTACATGGAAAAAGAATATATATTTTATTCACTTTCCTATCTTCCTTCCTACCTGTTTCCTGCTCATTTTCATACACAACTGCAGCAGTCCTATGATGCAATACATTTTTTTCTCACATTGTTCTGACACTTTTGGCTCCTACAAACCACTTCTTTCCTTTTCCTCCTGTCTCAAAGCTGGCAACCAACTTCATTTCTTAGCACCAAAGAGGCACTTACAAAACTCTTCCTCCACCCACTATCTCAATAGTAATCGCTCAATGTTGACAATAAGGAGCAGCAATTCCCAGAAGCTGTTAAAAACAAATGAGTCGAGGAAGTGGAGGAGATTAAGGAGAATTGCTACTAGTAATTTTTTCCTACCTCAGATTATCCAGAACCAACATGGGAAGCCCAGCATGTTGCATGAGAATAAAGTACGTTAGGAGTAGATATACCGAAACAGAACTCAAAATGTGCTGTGTGAGGAGAACAAAGTAGACACCTGAGCTCTCCAAGCACTAGATTCTACTTGTATCAGTTGACTTGTATCAATTGAAAGCTGAGAGTAGCTCCGTTGATTTCTTTGAAGCTATCTACTCGGATGTCATTGAAGATTAACCCTTCTTTTGTACCAATATAGAATAGTGGACATTTGTTAAGAGAATCTCAGCAGAAATTAAACCATTAGTACTCTTAATTTTTGAATCATTATATCTGTTTGAATCATTATATCAAAAGCATCCTTATATCTGTCTGAAATGACTTGTTACATCTTGTTTGGCCCCTGATCTTGCAGGTGTGGGTGGGTTGGCAACACACACAGTTCAGAGAGCAAGACCAAAAGTCAATGAAGTTGCAGCCCAGCAGCAAAGCAGGAGGAAAATCTTAAAGCAGACAGGGATTTCTCATGGCCTGTGCAAGACAGAGGAATTGGATTCTTAGATATCCTTAGATACTCAGTGTACTTAGATTCATGGAACATTTGAGATCTTGACATCTCTGCAGACTGGATTGGAAGCCATACACTTCGGATCAGACATCATACCTCAAGTCTGGGCTCTCATTTTGTTTTCAAATAGATTCACTGGAATTTAAAGTAGAGTTTCCAATGTTTTCTAGCAGTGCTCTAGGTAATTGTATATACCTTTCATTTTAAAAAGATATTATTTAATTAGACATTGCTACATGATGGAAGCCGTGTTAGTGATAATGCACATTAACGTGATCCTTATGGGGAAGTGTATCCTTGTGGATCTGCTTTCATTAGTTAACTGTCCTGCAAAATTATTCATGGGTAGGGCCAGGCACAGAAAAGCATAGTAGTAAGGTTACAAACTATGTAACTGTAACTTTAGATTAGAAAATCAGATATGAGAAATTACTAGGGATACATACACTCACAGAAGTCTAGAATTTTTTTTTCTTTTCAATTTTGCTTTGTGGTGTTACACTTTCACAGAAAGTGAATTTCATTATCTAAAATGAAGTAAACATGCTATAAAATGATTGTCAGATCCTTGCCATACTCAGATGAAAAACAAAAGCTGAGATTCCTATAATAATAATAAAAATAATTTTCTTGTGCTGTTTCACCATGTTTTTTAATAATGCAATTCCCAATGAGGCATTCTGCCTTGCTAGCACAGAGCTTCATCCAAGTCAGTAACAAAATGTGGAGCAGAGGAGTCTGTAGTAGTAGTAGATTACAATGTGATTTTGAAACCACAGGTAAATCAGCTTTGATCCTACAATGTCTTTTCGTTGGTTAACCCCACTGGAGTTAGTGTTTTTCAGTGTAGGAGAGGGCTCTATCTAATTGAGTTGTAGAATTAGGTATGATACCCTGTACTGCAGATTTACGATATTTGCTTTTCATGGTAATTGTTGTCTCTAATGTGGTGATCTGAGTAATGAGCTCTACTAGCTTTTATTACTATTGGAAATCCTGATTTGTATAATCTTGCTGTATTGAATTCTGTAGTATCGTATTTCTATTACCAAAATCATTAGTATCCAGAATCTCTGAAAGCCAGCATAACAGAGCAGAAAATATTAAACCAAATCCATCATATTCCTTTTCTGTCATTTTTGAATACCATTCTGATGATACCTCTTAGGTGACTATCTCTTGCCAGAAGTCATAATAAACACACTCAGAGAGCAGACACTTATCAAAACATTGATGTGGTAATTATATAACCAGGTGATAATATTCAATGCTCTTAAAAGTATGCACTTCACATGAACAATTTATGTATATATATATGTATATGTATATTTTTTGTCATATTCTTTCTTTCCATCTCATAGTAGAGCTGCTTGGAAAACTTCTCATCCTCTCCTGTGGAAAGCTGCCATTAAAAAATAATTTCCAGTTTCTTAAGAAAAGGTCATACTTTCCCTGGAAAATGTCAGCAAAAGAGCCAATAAGCCTCTTTAGTCTTACAAGCTAGAAAATTCTAAGTGGCAGGTGCTTAAGATGAGACAGGAACGTTGTACTGGTGAAGCAATAAGATTCTCTTTTTGCCTCTCCTGTCTGCTTCCACCTTCCTAAAGTCTTAATTATTGCTTTCCATTGCTGTGTCTTCTATTTAAAGTGAAACACATTTGTTGAATGGTGCCAAAAGAGGTGCAACATGGTGCAATTCTTGCACTGATAAGTGTAGGAGACTAAATATCTCAGCCTGCTTAATTCCTGATAAAAAACCCTTTACATCTGTTGTAGAAAGTTGAGAAGAAGCAAAAGATCTTACAAGAGCAGTATCTTTGTGTGCTTGTGCTGCTGGATAGTGGGTGACTCTAACCAAGAAGGGACAAGCTGTGGTGTTTGAGCTTTCCTTCCCTTCCTTTCCCAGCCGCTCCAATTTGAAAGGGGCAGAGGAGGCGAAGCGGGGGGCTCAGCCCGAAGCTGGAAAGCGCCTGGAAGACCTGCGCCGTCGCCGAGGAGAGAATGAAAGCGAGGAGTTTGAGAAGATGAAGGAAAAGCAGCAAGAAGCAGCTGTGGAGCTGGAGGAACTGAAGAAAAAGCGCGAGGAGCGCCGGAAGATCCTCGAGGAGGAGGAGCAGAAGAAGAAGCAGGAGGAAGCTGAGAGAAAAGCCAGAGAGGAGGTACTGTTGCAGGATGCACAAGGAACTGGTCCTTGACTGTGCTTCAGATTGAGTTCTTTATCTTTCTGGTTATGCTGCCTTTCAGGCAGGGCTGTTTCTTGCTCTTTGTCAGGAGGTGGTCTGTTACGGTGGACCCCAATTTCAAATACACTGCCTGGCATTAAAATCATCCCATTTTTGTAACTTGCAGATTTAATTGCAGACAAGACATATGTGATCCCAATAGCCATATCATACTTTAGTGAGGACATGAGGTAAAACATTCATCTACCAGGGTAGAAAGAAAAAATGCAATTCTAGCCTGAGAAGACAAGACTCTGATAATGTCTTCATAAGCCAGGATTTTATTTGTGAGAGCAAGGAAATTCTTAAATTTTGAGGCACACAAAATTTTCGGTACAGCATTGTAGCTGTTAATTCCAGGAGGATATCTTTTTGATTATGCAACCTGAATTGTAAAGGCATGACAGAAATTAGTCTGCTGCAGTTGAGCTAGAATTCTAATGTTTTATATAATAGTAATCTCTAGCACTATTGTCATTATTATCACTATATGGGCTAGATCTTATTAGGAAGTTATTCTTGTGTATTTAAATATTGAGTACCCAAGCATATCTGTTCATAGGTGCTTCTTCTTCCATGAGGCTGTATAAGTAGGATTTTAAAATCTCTCGTGCATCATTTAGGAATCTGAGTTGTTTAGAAAACAAATGTAGTTTTAGAGGATGAAGAATAATAGCGTTTAGCAGCTGAACACCAATTGCTTTAATATACTAAGCTCCTTGCAGGATAACTCAGTGGAAACAAGGACTGTACTTGCTTTGCAAGCAGAGACTGAATTTACAGGCAGTAACAGTGGTTGTCCTTCAAGGACTTCCAGTTTGATAACTAAGGAAGTAAAAGCTCCTCTTATCTCTTTGGAGGGAAAACTCCAAATCATTTAATCTCCACTGCTTTGGGCATCTCTTTGTTTTTTCATCCACATTTAATTGGCATAACAATCCCTAGAGCTGGGGGGAAAGAACAGTACAAAGAGGGTACAATAGGATAAAAAATGAATTTGAGAAGCAAAATGAGACCATGGGCATTTCTGATGTTTATACCTGTTTGGACAAATGAGAATTTGGGCAAAGAGCGACTGATTTTCTTAAAAATCTACTTCCATCAATGTGCAGACTCAGAGAACTCTTTAAAAGTATTCTTTAATAATATTTTTAAACTATGTATAACTGTGAAAACATCACATGTAGATTATGAAATCTAGTCCTTAATGAAACAGGATTGTTATAGATGTGCTTTGTTACCTATTAAGGTGACACTACCTGCAATTAATCTGGTGATTTAACTGTGAGGAGAAATTAAGGCAGTATAGAGTAACCATCTTCCCTACTTACTTGATGAATATTGTGATTAGCATTGCTCTATTAACAGACTTCAGTTAGGTCCCTGAAACTTTTGGATGGTATTAAAAAAAAACTCTTCTTGGAAAATTTGACAAAAATTTGCAAGATCGCAGAGCCTTGTAGTGGTGACAGTTTCTGAAAGGAGAAATGACCTTTTTTTTAGGAGGAGAAGAAGAGGATGAAGGAAGAAATTGAGAGGAGAAGGGCTGAAGCTGCTGAAAAACGTCAAAAGATGCCAGAAGATGGTGTAACTGATGACAAGAAGCCATTTAAATGTTTCAGTCCTAAAGGTTCATCTCTCAAGGTAATCTTAAGGATAACTGTATCATACACACAAAATAATGAGGATTATAGTTCAAACCAACTACCAAGCATCCAAGCTATGTGAAAATACTTGAAATTAGGCACAGGACATTGATCTGAAACAGGACTTAGCCTAAAAACTTCAACTCAAAAAAAATCATGCAAAGAGATAATTGAAAATTAGTAAGCTTTTCTAAAAATACAATCTGGGCTGAGAGTTACTTTCCTTGTTGATCAAAAATGTCTAAAAAGGATCTTCACTTGCCAGAGGGAATTATTTTGGAAACTTAAAGCAGCATTACCGTGCTGATTTGTAATGTTAATTTATTATAGGAGTATTTTATTAACTGAAGTAGGGAGAAATTGTAAGTATTTTCTCTTTTCTTGGACATGCACAATTGCTTTCCTTGCCAGATTATTTCAAACTGTCTCATATGAGAGTTCTAGTTTATGTCTAATATTCCTAAAAATCGCATTCAGAAGTGCTGGGCATAACTTCATTTTCTTAAATAACAGAAAGAACCCCCCTACCTTTACTGCAGGAATTTCTAAGTATTCTTCCGTGGCCTATATTACACGGATGGTCAGATAACTCAGTAAAATGGCCTTTTAGTATATGGAAAAAAAATCCTGTCCTTGCTAAAATTACTGGGAATTTTGTTTTGGTATTCATTTCAGTTGTTTTTTCAGTTCACACTCAAACTACAGACATCTATTCATCATTTTCCACTATATTTTTCTTTTCTTGCTTTATGTCATTAGTCAGCCACAAATCCAAAAATGTCTGTCAAAAAAGGTACCTTAGTGTACATGAGGAAGGGAAAAGAACCAGGCAGGAAGCTATCAGGCAGGAGTGGGAGCTGGACCATGAGTAGACTTCCTGCATTTAGTCAGAATGACATTTATACTTGCAGAACTTTGTTTTGAATTGATGTGCCACTTGGGCTCTAGCGTATTTTGGATAAGATTACAGCAAATGTGATGGCTAAATACTTTTGACTGAACTTGACTTTGACTCCTCAGACCATTCAAGTCACAAATTTGAGGACAGTATATAGAGAGCTGTAAATGAAGGTTACCAAAGTGCATGAGTATTGTCTGGTATTGCCATTTGGTTACATATCGATAACTAAATCTAATTATACAGTTTCTTCTTGGTGCTTTTGGGAAAGCTTCTTTTCCTTTGTTGTGTTTATTAAATTGTCTTTTTATGACATACATTTGGAGCCTTAGTTTGCAGATGACTCAAAAAAGAGGAAATTATTGTTTGAAAGTGCTTGATAGAAAGATGTAGATCATAATTTGGGGGACAGTGGGACAAAACAATGGATTTGGCAAAAGTTTAGAGAATAGTTTTCAGACAACCTTTAGACTCATGCTTTCTGAATATGTTTTTGTATTGTTTCCAGGAAAGCTGGAGTTTTCTGAACTTTGTTTAGCATAAAAAGCCCGTTTCTTTTTTGGTGATGACAATTGCTGTTTGTTTATTATGACATGTTCAGCAGAAGTTGCTCATTAGAAAATTTCATATATGCAACTTCATACACATACATCTTTCTACTTCTCTCTGAAAAAAAACAGTGATACTCTAGATGTTTCAGTCCTGGTGTCTGTGGGTGGCCAGAGTAGATTTGTAATGCTGCTGAACTTAACAACTTAAATTCTTTCTTGGCCTTCTATGGTCAGTAACTGAGCAGAGAATAATTTTAACAACTCGATGTAAAACTTGATGTCAGACTCCAGTTTTAAGAGGTCTTCAGTTGCCTTTCATTTGAACAGAGTGCTCAGGTCTGCCTAACCTGATTGATGTACAGGCTGAGGTCCCAAGAGACTATTATACAGTTATCTCTTGACTTGCAAAGCATTTGGCACATATTTTCTCACCCAATGGATGTATCATCTAGTTAGATGGGTTATGAGCCACGTGTAACCATAAATCCACAACAGTGAGTGGGCAGGTGGAATTAATAATGAGAAAGAGGAGGCTGTATTAAAAGACATTTTGGAACACGTGCACGTTCTGTATTCACCTACATCCCAGTCTGGCAAAGAATCCTTCTCTCCTTCTCTGTTCTTACTGACCATGCTAAACTTTTGGAGGAAGAAAGAATGCAAACTCTGCTGCTCTCCTGTCCTTCTCTTGATGTTGATAGCAGCGTAACTGTGTTTAATGGAGCAAAGGAGCATGTAAGGCATTCAGACTTGAGAGGCACTTTCCTCCAAGGAACTACCACCTAAAATGTTTTTTAACGTTCTTCCACCTGTATCAGACATAAGACAAAACTATAATAAAGGGATTTCTCTTTTCTGCATTTGTTTCCTCTTCCCTGTCCTCCTTAGTCCATTTTTTTCCTGAAAATATTTTTGCATATAGAAATTTAAATGCTTTTTATTTCTCATAACATCTATTACATAATTTAAAGACATGTATGAAACAGGTGTTACTGGAAATATTTAGATGGTGCTCATTTCCTAAGTCATTAGGTAAAATTATGTATTAACTTGCTCCTTTTCCATTCTGAAGTGCAGATGCCAAAAAGCAAATGCAATTTGACCCTCAGACTTCAACTGCATGATATCTTTATTAGTAGGCCAAGTAACTTCTTGCATGAATCAATGAACCAAACTTGCCTATATAATATGGAATGTGGATAAATGCATAAATAAATATTTGTATAACTTTTAGCTTAACTTACTCTACATCACTTGTATGTGCTGCCCTGTTCAGTAAGGCACTGATCAGTTATGAGGCTCTCCAAGTTTTTACTTTATGTCATTGGTGGCTAATCCCATGAATCAAGCAGAGCACTCCTAAGTATTGGGCAGGACTGAGATGGATTTAATTCTGTATCATTTAAGCATTTAGATATGTAAGACAAGCTTCTTTGGTAGTCAGTGGAGAGACATACAGGCATCTCCAGGGGGCAAGGGACCTTAACTTTGCTAGAGTGAAATGAGCTGCCCTGTGTCACTGCTGACTGTCGAAGAAGCCAGTAGGTGTAGCTTGGACTAAGGGCTTAACTTTTAAGTAATTAAAGTTAGGTGAGGCAAATGCTACCGCTTGAAATCCTGTGTCCATTCATAGTTGAAACAGAGGCTAGCACTTGGACTTTTTGGAGTATCTGTGTGTTTCTGTGTCAAACACTCTGGAAACTAATTCATGCTGACAAAACATAGTTCCAAGCTATTTAAAGGATAATGTTAAAGGGAACACAGAAAAAAAAATATTTTAGTGCATGATGTCAAACTGAGGAAATATCTTGCTTTGTGCACTAACGGCTTTGTTTTTCTATTTCTCTTACAGATATATTTTGTAATTTTGTTTACTGTATGTGCCAACCATTTTGATTTTTTTTTGCATGCAGTTTGTGTGATGTGCGGTGTCTAAATAGCCTTTGGCTGTGCTGTTGCTGTGCAGCATAAATGCATTTGTCCTATATGTTGAATACATGTTGTAAACAGTTGTTTGCTCTAAGCATATTCAACATATTTTCCTGTTCCCCACCTGCATCTGCTTTGGGGCAGATGCTCTACCTGAGCAGATCCCTAGAACAATTACTCATAAACGTGTATTACATGTATGGACATGTAAGGTATCTGCCTCCTCAGGAGGACCATGTTCTGTTCTAAGGGTTGCTTCCTCACTCCGCTGTCCTCTTTAATTTATTTGCTTCCCTGCCTTCCTATGCTGAACAATCCCCAACTTAGTCCTGATATCACACCATGTGCTCAGAGAACCATTTCCATGAGATAAATGATAACTCTGTCTTTTTACAGCAAGCCCAAGAATACAAGTCCTGCTTTCCCCCACCTGCCCAATCTTACCCAGTACCTCTGGCAGCCAGGTTTTCCAGCTGTATAGGATGTTATGGCTGTATGGGCAGCCGATCCCCTTCCTGAACACGGGAAGACTCTGGAAGGTGTCAAGTCTTCAGCACTTTTAAACATCTCTCGCTTTTGTAAGAGGTCAAGTGCAGGCTGAGTTCTGCTGAACTAGAAGATGCTGTAGACAGATTATTGGTGTCATTGCATTGAGCGCTGCTTCCTTAAGGTATTCCAAATTGTTCATCTGTGCCGCTGGCTGGGACATCGTTGGTGCTGCCAAGGGACCTGTTCATGCGGAGTTCAGGATGAAGTCCTGGCTCATGTTGTGCCTTGTATCGGTATCCACGGGGGTGCACATGCAGGGCTTTAGTGTTCTTCACCTCCTTTCTGATATATTGCTGCCATCTTGTGACAGTGTCTTGAAATGGTGTGTACGGAGCAAAGCCCATCTTTCCATTTAAGACTATTGAGGAGCATATGCTGGCAAGTAAAACTGTTAGCATAAATTACTCCTCAAAATGTATACTTTTTAGAGCTTTAGAGATTCATTTGGCCTGGATATGATGCTAACTGGAATTTCTCCAATTAGCTTATTTGCCAAATTCTGCACTGAAATATGCTGCCTAAGTTTTTGCTAGTAAGAATTTGAAAAATAAAACCTCTGTGCCCTTTGATGGGCTTGATGTGGGGCTTAGAGTTCTTCAACAGCCTTGGTGCTGCTAATGGTGACAGAGGAGAGACATTTAAAGGAATGGTTGTCATTAACTTATTTTGAAGACACAAATGCAGTGGCAGCTGCTGTTAAAGGGACTTGAAAATGGACAACCCATACTGAGAATGGGAAATGCTCATGAGTCCAACCAGGTTGAATAATAGCAATTTCTATTCCCCGGAGCTGTTTGTGTATTTTCTACTATTAAGCAAAGCTGTAGACCTGGGTCAAGATGTGGAACAGTATAATGGGGAAGACACATAAGACACATGAAATTTATTGTTTCACAGAATTATTAAGATTGGAAGGGACCTTTGGAGAGGAGTCTAACTCCTCTGCACAAGCAGGGTCACCTGGAGCCCATTGCACAGGATCGTGTCTAGGTGGAATATCTTCAGAAAACGAGAATTCACAACCTCCTTGGGCAACCTGTTCCAGTGCTCTGTAACTGTTGTTACTGTCTATGTCACTTTACCGTCAAGAAGTTTTCCTCAAATTCAGACAAAACTTCTAGTGCTTCAGTTTGTGGTCATTGCCTCTTGTCCTGTCACTGGGCCACTACTGAAAACAGTCTGGCCACATCCTCTTAACACCCTCCCTTAAGGTATTTTTACACATTTATAAGATCCCCTCTCGACCTATTCAATCCAAGAAGCTGGTAAAAGTCTCATGAGTGCTTCGTGATTCTTTTTCATTGGAAACATTATTTTCCTATACAGAGAATAAATAATAATGATGGAATGGAAGATACTTGTTTGCATAGATATCGACTCAGCAATGACCCTGCTGAATATGAGCATGCTTTTTTGGAGTTCAGGTTAAGTTGCCAATGTCCTGCAAAAACATACATGAGGTAGTGTACATGGATGAGCTCCAAACCTGGCCCAGTCTGTCTCATCTCAGGGGGAAAAAAAAAATAAGTTATTATATTTACCCATCTTGAGAGATTTATACTTGCTTCTGTGTGGAAGGTATGAGTAAATTTGGCATATAAGTTTTAATGAATATTAACTTCCTGGTAGGTAAATATCTTTCCTTGGATCTCCTCCTGTACTGAGAATTTATTCTCTTGCTGCAAATGAAACATGAAAGAATATCCACGATGCAAACATGTTAATGTAAAAAAATAGTTCCACGCTCATGAGTATTCTCAATAACCAGACCCTAACTATAAAATCTGTGTGTGATTGCAGTGATTTCTGTTAGAATCCTTCTCTTTCAGATTTACCTAGAGATTGGCTTTAACCTTGAGATTTAAAGTGGTATTTTACTCTGGCCTTGCCTTACTTATTACCTCAAAACTTACAGCCTTTGTTTTTATTTTTTCTAGATAGAGGAAAGAGCAGAATTTTTGAACAAATCCGCTCAGAAGAGGTAAAACAATAGAACACACAGTAGATTCAGTCAGAGCATCCAAATGTTTAATTGGAGAGATAATAATTTTGTTCCTTCATTCTTTCTCTTTTCCATTCCCTACAGTGGTATGAAACCTGCCACCACAACGGCAGTTGTCTCAAAGATTGACAGTAGACTTGAGCAATACACTAGCGCAGTTGTGGTAAGTTAATTTCAGGTCACATTGACTCAAATACTAACAGCTTCTGGCACTTCTCTAGTTGACCTATTACCTGTTCAAGAATTTCAGAGATTTTTTTTGCCTTTTTTTTTTTTTTTTAAATGAGACTTCCAGAAAAAAATCCTTAAGAAAAGCCTGAAACCAACATCCAGATGTATAGCTAAACAGAATCTTCAATTTCCTCAGGTCATACAGGTTCCACTTTTCCTTGAATCTTTAATGTGAAAAACATACTAGAGTTTTGAAAAAAAAAAAAAAAAAGAAACAGATAGAGTTTGGCCCAGGATTTTGGAGAAGACACATTGACACTCCTTCTGTCCACTCCTTTCTCCCCCAGAACTCCATTTTCTAAAAAGCATCTTTGCAAATATTCCATAGCTGCTGAAATTTAGCCTTAAAATAATCTGGAGCTTTTAAGTTAAATCTCTCAGTCATACAGAACAGAGTCTGATGCCCAGTGACAGATTAACATTTTTCTCATGCTTCACATAGGAACTTCTTTCCTGTGTGCCTAGGAGAGCTATATTTACAGGCAGGAGGGACTGAGACTTGGAAGAAGACAAATCAAAGCCTTGGGGCAGTTATGCAAACAGCTGTGGTTGCCATGAGATTTACAAATGTGAAAAATGCAAAACTCTGTGCCTGGCTGTACTTCTCATAGCCTGACTTCTCGAGCGTGCAGGAGCTGCAAATCAAAAAGGGGCAGTTTCTTACCAGCGTCTCTTGAGCTGAATTCTCTTCTCTATCCTTCCATGAACATTGCTGGAAGTAACTCCAGCTGCTACCAGTGCATTTGCCATCCCAGTCCAGTTCAAGCATTCTGCATATCCAGGCCTTATTGCCAAGCACAATCTAACCTCAATTCTTTTGCAGGGCACAAAGGCTGCAAAACCAAATAAGCCAGCAGCCTCTGACCTTCCTGTGCCAGCCGAGGGTGTTCGTAACATCAAGAGCATGTGGGAGAAGGGGAATGTATTTTCATCACCCTCTGGGCCAGGAACACCAAATAAGGTATGTATTTAATTTATTTTTACAGATTATAAAGTATTTTGTTTCAGACTTGACTCTACAGTTCTTGTTTATGTGAGTAAGCCTGGATGCTCTTCTCTATGTCAGTGGCAAAGAATGTCCTAAAGAATTCCGAGGTCTGGTCCTCAGATATGGCTGCAGTATTGAGTACACATAGAGCTTAGTTGTGAATCAAGTATTGAGAGTCACATCAGGTATTTTAGACAAATACAGCTGGCTGGTTCAAGCTGAGTACAGAGAAATTCTTTTTTTTGTTGGGAAATATCTTTTGACGGGAAGGCGGAGGGAGATGCAATGTAATAGATGAACTACTAATGCCTTGTAAATCACAGACAGACGCATTTGTGAGACTTTTCTACATAAATTCTTTCTATGAGTTTTTGAGCTCTTAAGAGTTCATCATAGCTGAAAACAGTGATTGAAGGAATTTTTTTTATGAATGCCAAAGAAGCTTTAGCAATTCCTTCCAAACCTTTTAGTATTTGTTTTAATATTTTAAGTCTTATGTTAGTTAACTCCTCTGTTAAATTTCTTTTTGCAAAAATTGAGTTTATCAAACAAAAATTTAGAAAAAAAAAGTTAATATCTCCTGTCCTTTTAGGCTAAAGATTTTTTTCTCCTTTGAATGACAGAAAGAGTAGCTGAGGTTCCAGAGTCATCAACAACTGTTGAACGTTCATGCACAGGTTAGCTCATATCATATTAGGTCATATTAGTGAATAGGATTTTATTTGCCAGCCCACATTTGCCATCACTGCAAACTGGAGGTAGGAATTCTAGATAGTTTGTACTAAAGTTTGTACAAAAATCTTTGGGCTAGACAAGTTGACGCTGAGTTGTGGCCTTGGTAAGTACGTCTGTTTTAAACTCTCATTTGGCTTTATGTTTAAACCCAGGCTGTGGAAAAAACGATAGCTATTCTAAAAGTCTTCTGATAAGATTTTATTATTTTGCAGGAAACTGCCGGACTGAAAGTTGGTGTCTCCAGTCGTATCAGTGCATGGGTAACTAAGAGCCCAGATGCCAGTAAATCACCTGCTGCAAAACCTTCTGTAAGTATACCTCCAGCAAGTATTTTCTTTAGTGATAGGGGGTCTCTCCTGAAGCAGTGGTGGCAATGGTGCTTCTACTGCAATTTCATGGGGGTTTTTTTGAGGTACCCAGTTGCATGTCCTTCCTTAGAAGCTTAGTTCACAGAGGCCCTGCTAATTTCTGCATAACTGAGAGAGATACGAGACAGAGCAGTTCTTGCCTGAGGGGCGAGGGGGACCTGAGGGGACCTCCAGAAAGACAGTGGCCACCCAGCAAATTTTTTCTTTACCAGCTTTGAAACCATACCGTTAATATAAAAATTTCCCAGCCATAAACTTGTGATTTGTATATTTAAACTTTTAAGGGTCTAATTATCACTTCTACTGATGGTCTGTTAGCCTGTTCCTTTCTTGAGTGGAATCAGACCCCTGCTCCATGGGTAGGAGCTCCATGGGTAGGAGCAGAAACAGGTAATTTTGAAGCAGGAAGGAAAGGATGAAGAACTGGACCTGAAGATACCTGTACTGGGGAATAGCAGAGTCACTCTCTATTAATGGAGCTTTACTGAAAGGCTGGTTTCCTCTCATATGCTTATGCAGTATGCTTGCTGCCAGTACCTTGCCCTTTATCAATGGTGCAGTCTTTATATTTTTAGCATATATTTTTTCTGAGTTCACACTATTTGTCCCAAAGAAGAGCTTGGAATTTGCAGTGGTTATCCATATCCAGATTACCCATATCCATACCCAGTCAGTATTTACTACTGGTTTCAAGGAGCTTAATATAATAAGAATCCCAAATGGAACTGTATATGAAAATAAAAGCAGTTATGGTGGTGACTCAGTCTATAGCTGTTGAAAATTACGAGATTTGCTTCCAGATCGTCTTCTCCTTCCTCTAAGCTACATCTTCTAGATAATATAAATCTAATCTCTTTTTTTTTCTCTCTTCAGCCATATGCTTCTATATCTGCATTTCCCTCTTTCTCAATAGAGTGCTCTTTCTTCTTTCAATATTTATGCTTGATGGAATCTGCTCTTCTCCTATGCTGCTTCTTTGCTAAACTGGTCAGGTAAACCTATTTGTAGTTGACTGTGAAGAATAATATACATCTGTAATGTATGTGTATTTTTTGTTTTGTTTTGCTTTATCAGAATAAATCAAGCACAAACCTAGCATTTCTTAGTTACCAAATAAACTCCTACTCCCAGCCCAAAATAAACTCCTACTCCCAGCTACTTTCCTCCAAAGTAAAGAATGGTTTCAAGTTTTTGACTTCATCAAATATTTCTTTTGGAACAACATTCAGTAAGAAGTAATGCAGATTAGAAATCTAATCTCCATTAGATCTATGGTCAATCTAAATTTTTGATTTAAACATTTATGGAAATGATTATATAATGATGTTGCCTGTGGTGACACAGGGTTGTTGTGTCCTTGGTGACTCTGTGCTGTAGAGAACAAGGGCTATGTGGACAGTTTTGTGGAATTTTGCTGTATTCTTCCCTCTGCTGTTATTGTTGAGCATGGTTTTTGAAGTACAGAATGGGCTCAAAGTCTTAGTGAGCAGCAGCTCTGCTTGGGTCTAAATTAGGGTCTGCTCTAGAGCATCACTGTTGCTGTGCACATGTCTCTTGTAGAAATCAGACTTTCCTCATCACTGGGCAGTTTTCTGTCCTGAGCCAGAAATGCTGGTATGCAGGAAACAATCTGCCTATGGATGGCAAGAACAAGAATCTGGAAGCCTTTCAGGATTTGAATACTTCCTGAAAAGGAGTGTAGTTACATCCTAAGTTGTTTCAATAATCTTTGCCGTCAGCAAAGGTACATATCCATCCATCTGCATTAAAGATGTGTGTTCATACTAGCCTAGCATACATTTTCTTGATTCACACTCTTGTTTTTCCCAAAGAGAAGCTTGTGATTTGCATTGGATTCTGCTCCAAGTACACAAATTCACTCTTTTCCATAGAGTGAACTCATTGCAAAGTCCAAGTCACATCACAGCACTACTTTTTTTCTACCAGAGTAGCAATTGTTGACGTTATGACTTTATAAGATGCAACAACCCTTCCTAATCATTTGAATTTCTACAGTGTTAAATGCAGAAACCTTTACTTAAGATGCAGAGGAAGCAATGCATAGGAAGATTTTTTGTTCTCTAAGAAGTGCCTACTCTATATTTTTTTAGTGAAATATTTTGTCACTGATCTAAGATACCTGAAACAAGATTATTTCAATATTCTCCATAATGCAAGCCATTAGTTCTGATTTCTTTTTCCCCAAAATTTGAAATTTCTTGATGAAAAACCTGATGGTGAAGTTATTGTACTCCCTAGGATGAATGAAAGAGGCAATGGTCAGTGCAGAGCCAAATAAATGCAGCAAGGTTGAATTTTGTATTAAGCACGTAGGTGTGAAGAGTGGTTATGTGAGGTGCCATCCTGTATAGCTTTCTAAGTGATAGAAAATGTATTATTGTCCACTGATGATGTCCCATAGTACTTGTGAACATAATAATAATAATAATAATAATAGGAGAGAAATTTGAGAGCTGAGGGACAACACATCTGTGTTTTTGAGATATGGAAATCAAGTGAAGCTGAAGCCTCTGCTACCATATTATTGTTAAAGAGGTTGCCTGCGGCCTAAAAGCAGAGCATTATCCTTTGAATCCATTTTTAGCATTCCACTTACATCCTGCCACCTTAAATGTCACTCAGAATAGAACAGCCCCTACAACCCAAGATGTACATGCAATTTACTGGGAAGGCTTTTTAGGTCAATTACTGGCTTCTAGTGTTGCATGACTGTAAAAAAACATCTCTTCTAGGTGGGGTTTTCACAGCACAATACAGATATTTCTCATGGGTAAGTCATGTTACAATTTTCTCTCCACTGACTGAATCTGTTATTTTCTCTTTGACATTGGTTTTAAAATACAGGATTTAAGACCAGGAGATGTTTCTGGCAAGCGTAATCTCTGGGAGAAGCAATCAGTTGAAAAACCAACAACTTCTTCTTCTAAGGTAATACCTGAATCCATTGTAAAAAGGGAAATACCTCTGAGAGAGGCTTTCTGGGGAGAAGACCATGTTCTCCTGCTTATAAGCAGTCAATTGGAATTGGACTTTTTCTGGACCTCTGCTTCTAACTTCCCTTTTTATCTAGAATAGAGAGCACAATGAGGTATCTAAAGGCTTGGGTAACATTTAATTTTTACATTCTTGTTTGGTAGAAACCCTGCCTTATTTCCCAGTATGAATAAACACATTTTCACATATTCAACTAGAATAACAGGTTATCATCTTTTTCAATACAGGTAACAGCTGCGGGGAAAAAATCAGAGACTAATGGTAAGTAATTCTAATAATACACTTCCATATTAAATAGAGCCACTAGCACTTTTTCATAGAGACGTACCTGTTTTTTTTTTTTTTTTTTTTTTTTATTGTTGTTAAAGGTTATACAAAAAAAACCCACTTTCTTCCTTTGCCTTTCAAAAGCCTGGTTTAGTTCAGTATCAGAATTGACTGGTAAAATTGTTGAGCTCAAAATTGTTGAGCAATAAGCCACAACCATCTTTTTAGGAGGAGTGAGGACAAGATGTTCTGTAGCCATGTTTGCAAAGTTTGAGTAATATTTGTAGCATATTTGCTATAGCCGGAGAGTGATATTAAACTTTGAGAGGTCTGAGGATTAGGATGGTCATTTAGCTAATTACAGCATATACCAGACAACTAGGAAAGGCTCTTTTAAAGACTGCAGTGGGAAATGGATATGCCTTTTTTGTGAACAAATCTGGACTAGAACTTGGTTGTACCCAATAGCAACACTGCATCTCATGAAGATGGATTGGTATCTTCTCAAGACAGACACAGTCTTACTACCGCTGTTTGGGGAAGACTGCCTGGATTTGCTGAAAGGAACCAGCAAAATTATCCTTCTAGCTCATTTACTGCTTTAAAAAAAAAACTAAAAAAAAAAAAAAATAGATACTTCAAATAAAATCAATTAGAGGAAATGGGCATCTAAGGACCTATGGGGTGGAAGGGAAATTCACTGATTGGTTTAGTAGATTTAAGATGCCCTGCAGTATTCCTGGATTTTTCCAGAGATAGGAATAAAATAGGTAGGAATAAAATGACCAAATGCAGAAAAAAAAATGCTGAGGTGAAGCCAGAGCTATAGTGAGTTTTGTGGGCTTCTCATATTGTTATAGAGCCCCACAAAAGAGGCCTTCTGGCTTCCTCAGTGTTAGCTGAGCCATGCTCCTTGAGAGCCTCGTCTTTGTGGCTGCAGGGGACAAAGAGAGACCACCAGCAATGGGGTTAAGAGACTGGGTTTGAGTCAGCTTTTCTTTTACTGTGGTTTTGGTTCACCTGCCCAGCACCATCGCACAGGCAGTCAAGGAGTGTGTGTGGGGTAGAGCATCCCCAGTGCTGCAGGGCAGAGGGCTCCACGGCTTCTCTGCCCCACTGCTGGGGCCATCGGATGTGAACGAGGTTGCAGGAAAATCCTGCTTGTCCTCTTGGAGACAGCTTCTCATGAGCCCCGTAAGGTTGTTTGTGGGTCCTGCCTTTTTAAACGCTGCCTGTTCATCTGTATTTAAACACACTGAGGTTGAGAGATTCATTCAGGCCATTTCGAGCCATCTTTAATCTTTCTCTCTTTCAGCAGGTTTGAGACAATTTGAGAAAGAACCGTAGGAGGCTACTAAAGACGCTGGACAAATCAGTTGGGGGAAAAAAAAAAAGTGCTAAATTGTTCTTTTTATATTTATGTTTATTTACCAAAATGTCTTTTTTTTTTTTTTTTGCATTATCCCAGTTAAAACCATGTATATTAGCACTATATTTAATAATCAGTCTAGACCTTCATCATAATAGTACTGCCTTTGCACAAGAGCCTTTATTCCTAAAAAAATCCATGCTGTGAAATACATAGAGTCTCCTACTGATAGTCATAATTATGTATCTGAACAGTGATTTCAACTGGCATAAGAGGTCAACCCAAAATACATGTAAAGTGAAGTTGCTTAGGAAAGGTGTGCAGTAAACCTGTAAAAACAGTGGTTACTTTTGGAACACAGAAGTCTTTCTGCACTTTAGACGAAGGCATGGAAGAAATATCTTCAGTTGATAATGTAATATTTTCTGTAAGTTGCCCATGTCATGAAAAATACTGCATCAATAACTTTTTTTTTTTTCTGGTTGTTTGTTTTATATTTTTCTAAGTATCAATTTCTCCATTCTAGTTTAAGTTAATACCTGAATTTGGATGATTATGTTAGCTGACAGCGGTACTGATACTTCTTTTTGTTGTTAGTGACTAGTAATTGATTGCAATTTAGAATATATACACACATAGCTTTACAAAGTTTAGCCTAAAGGCACTACTAATGGTAGAATGCTTAAATACATGCTAGAGTATTATATTTAGTAATAAACATACATAATTAGCCGATATCACAGCTTCAAGAATAAAGACAAAAATCACACACTTTTCTGTAGTAAGATTTCATAATTGCCATTAGAGGTATGGCGAGATAAGTATTAAAAAATTTTAAATGTCAGTTGCCCAATACTGGGTAATTAAAAAGAAAGTTATAGTTTTTAAAAGAGAAAAAGGTAAGGGTATAGAGGGTCAAAAATAGGTCACTTGTATAAAACATTGTAGTTTTTATTTATATAAAACTACCATTATTAAAAGAAAGTAAATCTTAACACAGGGAGCTTGTTTCAAATGACTCTACACTAAATCTTGCCATTCATCAGTGCTGTACACTAGATCCACCTGAAATGAAGTAAACCTCTCTCTTCATAGTGCTTCTTTTTAACTCTCTCTCCCGAATATCCTATTTACAGATGTTTTGATTTGTATATAGTAAACACATGGCTATAAGACGTCAGCTTGGTTTGAATTTACATGCCATACAGTTTAGCATTTACATCCTACAGTGTATGGGTGGAATAAACTGAGCAACTGAAGTAGCCCCAGAGTGCGTTGTTAACAGCTTTGTTGTGCATCTAAACTACCGGGATCTCCCTTTTCACCACTTCATCTGTTATAGCGTCCGACTCGCTCCTAGAAAAGAAGAATATTCTGTTGCAACCCAAAGATGAGCTCCCCTGCCTGGTTGGAACATCTTGTTTACACATAGAGATGCACAGAGATGCACTCAGTTATCTGTAGGGGGTGAAATTGTGCCTGACATTGTCTGTGAGTTGTCTTTTTTTTTTTTTTTTTTGTTTTTTTGTTTTTTTGTTTTTTTGTTTTTGTTTTGGGGTTTTGTAAACACTCCTTTGAGTCTTTCAAATACATTTGATAGCTGCAATAAAAATGATTTGTTCAAACAATGTATTCTGAAACTGCATCCACAATAAATGGAGTATTTCCATCAGCAGCCCCTGTTTGTTAATGACTAGGGACGAGCCAGTTGTTGGCTGGTGTTCACACTAAGGCAATATGAAACAAGGCGTCACAAAATGAAGCTGCGAGGATGTCTCTCCTGACATCTTTTCCTACCCTAGACTGCAAAGGCCTAAAGTTGGGAGCTTCAACCTGCGTATTTTTAAGGAGATAAAGGAAAAATCTTAATTGTTATCCACTTCCATGCAAGACAGGAGCCATGCATCATGCAGAAGTCAACACATCGAGCCAAGTAAGTTCTGATTTAATGGTACAGTCTGCCTTGTTGGTGGTGGGTCCTAGAGCATTTCTTCATATTTCCTTGGTGAGAGGGAGAAATCTCTGTGCGGATGAGACCAGGCTGGCTTTCCCATTTGCTCTCTACACCTCCCTTGTTCTTTCCTTTAATAACCCCCAGCAACTCTGGCCAGGTACTTCAGGGAGCACAGGGAAGCCTATGGCAGGCACAAATTATTCTGAATGACTGGGGAAAACACTCCTCAAACCTACAGCATCCTCTCTGCCTACTTTAACCTGCAAAAAAAATAGGGGCTTGAAAGTGGGCCTCTCTTCTTCCCCTGTGCTATGTTATTGCATTTTTCTACAGGCTTTACCTAAGTGACACTTTCCTGCATTAATAAACACAGTTTTTTTGCCCCTAGTTATTATCTGCTTTGAGAGAAGACATGTTCTGAGTACATTCATCCTAGAAGTTAATTTTACTTTTAGACAGGTCGAGCAAAGAGGTTACTATGTGGTGGTTTGTTCCCACCCGCAGGCACCACCTCGTGGTCGATTTTGCCAATGACAACCCCTTTGACAGACTCACCTGTCACAAGGTTTGGGGGGCATTTAGTGCCATTGCAAGGTGATCGTTTTCACTGGTCATGCTTTACTCGTGCTTGCTCAATGTCCTAGCTGGACTTTTCATTGGCAGACTATGGATTCTGAACAGAGCTGCCGTTTTAAGCCGGCCTTTGCTTTAGCCTAGCATTACCTCTCTGGGAATACTGTAAAGCATTTGTGAGTGTACCTCGGTGTTTGGTGTTTTTAAGGAAATGTTTTTTCTGTATTTTCATTAGATAAATCCAAACCTTGTTTGGCGCTGTTGTTCTGGATGCTGCCAACAGGTTGCAAAATACCTGATTTTGTGTTTGAGACTTGCAGAACAAGTTGTTGCTATTTGCTAGTAGCCCTTATGTTCAGCTGAGTGTATCAGAAGATGTGGCTTATCAATGCATGTAATTGCATCTGCTCCCCCTCCAACCTCTCCTACTGTAAGAAGTCAGTTTCTGATTGCTAAGAGGGAGATTACACAGAATATAAAGTGAAAGTTTGTTCTCTATGTTCTAGCAATAACATCCTGCTTGGTGCATAAATCTGAAGTGGCATCTACCATTCTTGTATGGGAACCAAAAGACAGCTCTCCTATCTATATTAAAATTCAAAAAGCAGAGTTCAAGTGTGTTCTATAAGTAACCACACAAAATAATTCAAGCACTGCATTTATTAAGTTTTGTTGTTACTCAAACTTTATTCATATAAAATTTCAGAGTATTAAGAAACTGACTCTATAAGAATTACAACTATATAAAAGGCAGAGTAATTAAAGACTGCATTCCTTGATGGCTGCTAATGGTTTAGTATGACTTACCACACTGAAAACCGCATGTAAAAATATCTTATAAGTAACAGGATTTTTGTTGAACATGTCTTTACTTAAGGAAGACGAGGAAAAAGGAAATGAGGAGACATTGTCTTTTTACCAGTAATTGAGAACATATTTCTGCTTGCCATCTCAGTAGAAGACCCATCCCCACTGGTACATTATTTCATCAACTAGTGATTGCCTCCAGAAAAGGAGGGCAAGTAACTCTTCTTAATCAGTATCAGTATAAAAAAAGAACAAATCAAAACTAAACTACAAGGTACATCTTTGGATCTGTTGTACATGGAGGTCTTGCAGAAGCCATAGGCATTAATATTCTGCTTTGAATGGGTAGTACTTGTGATTGACAGCCCTAAGAAGAAAAAGAATCATTTGGTTATTTAAGTATTGTATAAAATATTTTCAACAATATTTCACTAGTGCAGGCTCCCTCCCCTGCTGCCAACATGTTCAATTTATCTGCTGAGAGCAGATTAATTTGCACACAGAGGCTTGTGCAAAAGTGCGGCTCGATTTGATGATCTTAAAGGTCTTTTCCAACCATAATGATTCTATGATTCTAAGTACTTGCAACATCAAGATACAGTTTTGCTAAAGAAACTACCCTGAATGACTTCTCCCTCCTGACGTGTCCTGACGTCTCATTATCTGAGGTCTACAGTTAATGACAGGAGCTCTCCTTACTTCTAGTCATATCTTTTTTACAAGATCAAAAAAAAAAAAAAAAAAACCCTTAAAAAAACAAAAGAAAAAAAGAAAAAAAAAGAAAAAAAAAGAGTATTTGGCAAGCTAGTGAATCTGAGAATAAGGTACATACACAGGCACTGCAACTGCCCTCCAGTTTCTGTTAAAGCTGAGGATGACATCCATCTCCTTTTTAGACAGTTCAAAATCAAACACCTAGGGGAGACAAGAACAAGCAAAAACAACCCATTTTTAGTTATCTTAGAATTCTTAATGGTGGTTAATAGGAGAAATGAGTCCAAAATGTAGCATCATGAAAGTAATACAGAGATGCCATCTAGAAAGGCCAGACCTCTTAGCAAACACGCGGACTCTCCCCAGAGGAACCACAGTCTCAAAATGAGCTATTAATTTTTTAATGTGTCCGGGTCTCTCGCCTCATTTGAGCATGTGGTTGTTTTGAATTTGTTTACGCCTTTACAGCCTGTCACATGGAAACATGGTAAAGCTGCTGGTGGCCAGCTTGTGTACAGAGGTAGCCATGATCCCAATGGGAATGTTACCTTCATGTTTTCCTCAACGCGGTGTGGTTTGTCAGACTTGGGAATGACGATCACGTTCCTTTGGATGAGAAACCGTATCACAACCTAAGAAATGACAAGGAGGGTTAGGGACAAGGGGTGCAGAGAGATCTGCTCAGATTTTCTCCTTCTCTTCCCTATGCTGCATCTTCTCTTCCTTCTGCGACATCTTCCCACAGCCACCTTTACTCCTCGCAAGGTTTTACTATATTGCACTCAGGAGTTTGATGTTTGCATATGCATGCAGTCTCCTGACAAACTCCTCTTTGTTTCTGTCCTAGGTTTCTGTCCTAGGTTTATTATATCCTGGTTTCTCAAGGGTATGTTTTGATGTCACTTGGTGCTGGGAGAAGAATGATGATGCTACAGGTTTGTTTTAGATGGGTGCTCCAAGCAGATGAGCATAGCAATGCCACAGCTTATTTTGGGCTCAAAAATAAGCATCCCATGTGGTCTGTAGTTTTTGATATCTTCAGAAAGAAACAAACAGAAAAAGAGTGGATAAATTTCTAAAGCTTTCCTCAAAAGAGAACTGCTACATACAGGTGTTTTAGGGTTACTGTTTGTTGGTCAGGTTTTTTTTTTTGTACTGCTTTTTCTGTCTGAAAATATGACTGCTGCTGGTTCCCCACAAACATGTTGATTTATTTGGACTACATTCCTGTGCTTTCCTTTAAGTGCAAATTTTTGCACGCTCTGAACAAGACCTTATTTGTGTAAATAGCAGCTTACAGAAAAATATTTTCAACTTGAATAATCAAGCAATTTTCAAAGCTTCTTCGTGAACAGGAGCAAACTGTGAACAATCAAGAATGTTTGCCAATGACAAGGCTTCTCTGAAGAATGACTCAGCTGGAAAAGGGAGTGACAGGTTGGCTGGGTGATTTGTAAGTCAATCTCAAAGGAAAGCAAAGCGCTTCTCCCTCCAAGCAGATGAAACCTCCCTAGGAAGGGGCTTCCCACTACACACTGTGGGTAGGGGGTAACCACTAACCACTGCAGTGCAGAACTAATGATCGGTCTCCAAAAACAGAGCACTCAAGACTTTCAAAACATTCTTTGCAATTCATAGGAATGCTGGAAAGAATAGGGCTAGTGTGAAATGTCAAGTGCAGTTCCACCACTTGGATGCTACCCTTAGAGAGGGTAACGTTTGCTATGGACGGAGCATCAACTTTTAACAACACCTGAGAATGAGGAAGAGTTTATCCGGACTTACCTGGGCAGGGCTTTTATTATGTCTGTCTGCAATATTTTTAATCTTAGGATCCTCCAGCAGCATAGGTTCCCCTGGCTTGGCCCTAATAAAATAAAAGTCAGGATATTAATGGCAGAGTAGGTATTGGCACCCATGCAGTAAGCACTTCAAACATTTTGTCTGAACTGATCTGCAATAAATCAGCAGGAGTTTACTTTCCTTGTTATACTTGCATTATTTTTGCAGAGAGAAAGGTAAGGACTTCCTTACCATGGACGGTTCGGAGAGCCAAGGGGACTATAGGCTGTCACAGCAATCCCTTTAGATTGGCAATACTTGATAAGCTTTTCCTGGGTGAGGTATGGGTGGCATTCGATCTGCAAGCATAGAAACACAGTGGTTGGCAAGCTGCCCCGGCTAGAACCAGAGCATAAAATATCCTTGGGCTGCATACAGCATAAAGATGATTCCCGGTATCATGATTAAAATATATCATTTTTTAAAAGTTATTCAGGCTACAGCAATATCCAGAGGCCTCAGACACAGAATTGGGCTCCATGCATTACACAAAGAAATAGATGGGGGGAGTCAGCCAAATGCTTTGGCAGGAAGCAATGGAAACTAATCTTTCTAGACTACAGCCAAGAGAGCAGAATAGCCTCTTCAAAGGGGCACTTCAGGGTACTTGGGGCTTTGTCCCCACTCTGAACTAACCAGCCTCTCCTCTCATCTGGAGACTCCCTGATTCCTGGATACGCCTGGGAAGATGAGCTTATCTAGGTTAGCTTTGGTGGATATCCACAACATGTCTTCCCTTAAGAGCTGTTGACCTGCACGATAAAATTCATCTACAGCTGTGAAGCCCAGGTCCTGCTCACTGCTCTGCAGCACACTGCTTGACCTTAGGAAAGTTGCTTCATACTCTGCTTCAGCTGTTGAAGTTTTTGCTTAAATACATAGCTAGCATGTTCTTCTACTGGGAGAAGTATGATATAAAGTTTAGCCATAACTCACATGTGCATAAATACCATTTCTATTTCCCTAGGTTTGAAGCCAATGCTTTAAAAATAATGCATTTCCACAGTGCTGCAGTGTAACTTCTTTTTATAGAAGAAAGACCTTTTAATTTCATGAACCGTTCAAAAGAACACAGTGTACAAAGAAGCATGCCCTTCTTTCAAAAGCATGACATTTGTTGTAGACATGGCTCTACAGCTAGGAAACACTGCTGAAGGTTTCATCCCACTAAGCAGTGGATTGTAAAAGCAATATGGCAGTTATCTTGTTTCAGGTCTTGTCCTCGGATCTGGCTTAAAAGGGGCTACCAGAGCTGGTGATGTGGTGTAATGGCAGCATCTGGTGTATGGAAAAGCAAGCTGCAGCCAATGCCTGAAGGGCTTTGCGGTGTTGAATTTAGCGTATCTCTTACCTTGCAAATAACCATTCCCACCTGAACTTTATAGCCCTCCCTAAAATCTCTGAGCCCTATTTCCATTTGTGCTGAGTTGGTCAAGAAAGGCAAGAGGCAACTCGAGCCAGGTCCAAAAAAAAAAAACAATACAGGAAGAAGAAAGTCAGAAGCTCCTGCAGCCCTATAGCTATCTTGTGTTTTTCTTCACAAGGTTAGAGCTGAGAATTTGTTGTGTGCTCTAACCCTCTTTTTTTGCAAGGAAGTTGAATGTAAATCTATTCTTTTGCCTTGGGTGGGGGGGAAAAAAAAAAAACAGTAAATCCATTAATGCACTCCCATACTTGGAACAGGAGTGGGAATAGAATACTCTCATCTGGTTAGTATTACTATGCTGTGACTAATTTACATTGTTTATGTTTTGTTGCAATACTGCTTTCTTGAATCTCCACTGTCTTAAACACACACACACAGACACACACAGACACACAGGTCTACAACAAAATTTTCTGTTGAGATCCTCATCAGCTAAAAGCCATTAATGCTGACACCTTATTGAAACAGAATATATACTACACAGAGCATGGACTTGGAGGTCCGTTAAAGGAGACAGATATCTGGTGCTGTGTGAGGTCTTTCCACAGACTATGGCAGAAGGAAGTTTCAAGAGCTGAAGTACAGATCAAGTAGCTTTACCAATATTCCAAAATTACCTGACTCCAAGGGAAATACAGATCTTACCTGATTAACAACAGGTTTGTATTTGAGGCCAGGCTTGTTCAAGAGTCTCTCAATCTGCTCATGGTTAAAGTTGGAGATACCAATGGCTTTGACCAGACCAGCATCCACCAGCTCTTCCATAGCCTAATGGGTCAAAACAACCAACAGATACTTATGAGGTGGTATTACTGCAAACTGCACTACCTTCTTTCCCTAAAGAAAGTGTCAAACTAGTACATAACCCAAACTAGATTACATAATGGTCTCTCTGCTATGAAAAGAGAGCACCTTTGCACCTTTTACTGTTTGTACTCTTCAGTGATATCCCATTGCAGATAGGAAAGCAATAGAGGAAGAATGGCTTGGCTAATTGTTTTGTAATGGGATACATCTGTTTAATTTAGGCTTCTCTGAGAGTGATTTTACCATGGCAAAAAAATCAGGAGACCCCCACAGCTCTGGGGTCCTAACTCTGAGTTGGCAGAGTTCACTAAGGAAGACGTTAGCTCAAACTCTGTTACCTCAGTACACTCCAAAAGGAACTCCAATCTACTGCTGTAGAGGAAACAATAAATTCCTAGAGCCACAGCACTACACAGGAGCGGGCAGCAGGAGCAGACCCTGACTCTCGGCAGACCATAAGGAAAGAAGCCAAGGACAGTCAGCGATTCTGATGCCCGTTGCTGAAAAGCCTGTACTAATTCCCTCTCTCTACAACTCCCAGTAAATGAACAACCACACCTAGATTAATCTAAGTAGTAACACTATTGTGTGGAAGTGTGTGTTCAAACATTATCTTATTGACAGCACACACAGATAATGGTAATAGGTATTTTCAAAAAAAAAAAATTAGAAAAGGGTGGAGGGAGAAGCAGCTAATCTTTCTGGTCACGAAATACTGTTTTGTGCAACTACCCTCTCCTACTCAAACCTTAATTTCACTCTGCCTGCAGATTTCTGCCCCATGTTTAGTGCTGATATAGGCACAAAAGTAAACAAACTCACCTCCCATGTGTCCAGAAAATCTGTATCACTGGGAATAACCATTCCTTTATCATCTAAAGGACTCAGTTCTTCACCAGGCTGTTAATTCAACACAAAAAGCAGAGAAACTTGTTTTCAGAGTTGAATTCCCTACTGTATATTAGCATTTGATTGGAATGACAGGCAGCAAATCAACAGCTTATTTGAACATATTACATAACTAAAAATTATGCTTGTGCATCAATATTCTGTTGGATGAGGGCCATACTCCTGCAAATCAAGTCACTGCATACAAAGAGAGGGGGATTAGTAGTAATTATTTGAGTAACTTTGGTAACTTCTAGAGAGAAGGGAAATGACACTCCCTTATGATCATTACATAGTTTCTATATATAAAAAAAAGAGGCAAGTTCTTTCATGCTGCGTTTCATTTTCTGCTGTGGGTTACTCCAGATCAAGCCGTCATCTCCAAAATTTGAAATGTTCACACTGTTTTGACCCACCAAATGGCCACAATGCCATGATGCCAAACTGCATCATGCATTGGTTGGAGGTTCCCTAGAATTCCCAGTGTGTTTGTTAGCTATGCTGCTACCCCTGGCTATCTCACTCCATGAAAGACGTAGATGCAGAATTGGCCTTGTTAGTCACTGCACGTGCTTGACACCACCACACTCAGGAATGACCCAACTGGCTGCATGTACAAGCAAGTAGCCTTGTTATGTTCACCTGGTTTCTTCCAAGGTAAGAAGACAGGAAGGAACAATAGGCCTACCTTGTACCCCATAGGAAAATGCATCAGGTAGAGGTCCATGTAGTCCAGTTTCAGTGCAGCAAGACTCTTCTTGCACGCTTCCTTTACCAGAGGTCTCTCATGAAATGTGTTCCACAACTGCAGGGAAAAAACAAGTCTGACACTGACTCAGCAGCTTCCAGAGTCAAAAATCAAGGACAGAAATTTCCCCTTGTTGGTCTTGGAGGACAATTTCTTGCTGACTTACCCAATTAGGTGGACATGCATGCTAATGTTTGACTGGTAGAGTTAGACGAGCATACCATAATTAAAAAATTAGTATTGGAGGTGGATAACTGATACTCATATTTATGAAAAGGGAGTGCCAGAGCTGACTGTAGCTTTTTGCCATGTCTATATGGCAACCAGCATAGGAAACTTACTATGCTTTTGTTGCTTTTTTTCCCCCTTTCTTATCATCTGAGCTTTGAATTTTGAGCACTTAATGACTGCCCTCCTTTTACTGTCTTTTTTCTGGCTACTATGGGCTGTTGTCAATTATATTAGATCATTTTTTGGAATGCAGAAATCAAACTGTTTATACAGGAAAAAGAGAAATATTGTTTTAATTATAAGCTGCTCTTTAATGAAAATCAACAGTATGTGGAAGAACTTAGTTACACTCAATGTTTCCTGATTTTGCCAAGGAAAAACTCAAATCACTATTTTAGTTTTTAGTTTTTTGTTTTTGTTTTCATTTTTTTTTTTTGGTCACAGATGTTCCTGAGATGAGTGGATGAGATGACGGAAAGGAGTAAGTACAGGGAAATACATCAGACTGAAGTCCTCTACTTATTTTTGTTCCTTCTGAGGTTTTCATTTTCTACATTGCACCATTTTGTAATCTCTTGAACACCAGTAAATATCTTTTTAGGATATGTTTGTGAGAAAATTCAATACAATTAAGTGACTTAATAGGTGCAACAGCGTTGTAGATGAACAAGAGCCTTGCTATCTTTAAGTGATCAAGTATTCCTAATAAAGCTCTGTCCAAATTGCAATCAAAGGATGGGCTTCATAGCCTAGATGAAAATATTCCTGAAAGCTATTGAAGAAGGAGGAGATAATTGCTTAGGTTATTTGAAGAAACAAGGGTTGCTTGCTGTATTAGAGCTCCCTCCGAGAAACTGTAGCAAGAATTGTGCATCCTTGTACCTTACTGACAATGAAGAGGTCCTCCCGCTTCACAACCCCCTCCTTGATCTTCTGCTCCACAGCGTTCCCTATTTCATTTTCATTCTGGTAGAAGTAGGCACAGTCAAAGTGGCGGTAACCTGCACCAATAGCAAACTTCACCACCTCTTCCACCTTCCCTGGAGGAGCCTGAAAGCAAACATGACCAAAGGTGAGCCAGGCAAGCTCTGCTCGCAGCACTCACCGGCAGAGCTCCCCAAAAGTCACCCTTTCCAGTGAGATGCTGCAGGTTGCTTCCCACTTGCATTTACCTAGAGCTTTACTGCTCTGGTAACAGGCATTTTGGTAGGGAGGGCATTCCCCATGCAGCAGGGAATGTGGCAGAAAGGCTGCTAATTTTACACATTTTGGCGCTGGCATTTCCAGCAGGGTCAGGCCCAGTACCACTTCCCCTTATTTGCTCGTGGTGTTACCCAAGTGTTTTCACCAGTTTAGCTTTCCCAATCCCTTCCCCTTGCACATGGTTTGCTTGGTCCCATCCTGCACAGTTCCTGCAGAGCAGCTTTCCTTTCACCAGCCCACCCGGCACTCTGCGGGGGACTCTTCCCATGGGGGTGAGCTACAAGCATAGGGCGTCTCCCGCACCTTTTTTTTTTTTTTTTTTTTTTTTTTTATTTTTTTTTCTCTTTTCCGGCTTTTTGCTGCTTTCTCCTGCCTGCCCCCGCCCCGCCCCAGCAGCAGCCTGCCCAGCACGTTACACAAGCGGCCCCAATCCGCGATGGGCGGCGCAGGGAAGTCCGCCAGCCGCTACTTTATTTATTTTTTTCCCCCTTTCCCTTGACTTTCTTTTTTAATTCTTTTAAACTTTTGCCGCATCTGCGAAACGTTTGCAAAAGCAAAGGGTTCTCTCCGGCCGCGCACCCCTCCGGCCGCACCGGTACCTGCCAGGTGCCCAGCCCCAAGATGGGCATCTTCATCCTGTTACTCAGCTCCATGCACGGGCTCGCCATGGTGTCCTCTGTCCGTTTGTGGGTCGGTCGGTCGGTCGGTCGGTTGGTTGGTTGGTTGGTTGGTCGGTCTGTCTGTCCCGTCGATCCCCCTCCGTCCCTCCTGCAGCTGCCTGTAGCGCTTTAAAGCGCGAGGCCACCGCTCCTGGGACCTCCCAGGGCCCTCCTCCTTCTTCTCCTTCTCCTCCTCCTCCTCCTGCCCTGTGGCGGGGTTTTCTTCAGAAGGCGCTGGGCCTCGAGCACCTTTCAACAGGCACATGGAGTGCTCAGCTCTTCCAGGACTGTATTTATGCACATGTATTTATGCACATTCATAGGGGTTTGGGAGGTCTGACACTCAGCATCAAAACGGGGGTCTATGTGTGCAGTGTGCTTTATCTCCCGATGCCTGCAGGAGGCCTCCTGCCTCTTGCACTCCAGGGGCTTTCAGCGCTTAATTTAACAGCAAATTTACCTCATTTTTTTTCAAGCCAGATGTACCAGTCACCTTTAAAATGACATGCATTTTTGCTGCCATAATTCTACATTATAGATTGAATTCTTCCCACTTTCCCACATGTTTCTGCTCAGCATATGTTGGCGCAGAGACCAGTATGTCCTGAGCTTAAGTTATTATTTAAACCTTCTTTTTTTTTTTTTTTTTTTTTTTTTTTTTCCCCTCTAATACTACCAGTTCAAGTGAGGACAAAGGCAGGCGTGGATGCTGACACCAGGCAAACACTTCAATCTGCAAAAGGGACAAGGAAGCCTCGCGGGCAATTAAAAAGGCAGCTCAAGCTGCAGGCAGGGAGCATGAGGCTTGCGTAGTTGATGCTGACTGGTTGTGTCAGGCATCGCTGCTCACCTGCGTTCCCTGGCTGCGTCCTTGCTCCGCAGCGCCGCAGGCGATGGATGTCCGTGGTGCTCTGCATCGCTGCATGACCTGGGCTCTACACAGCTGCCCATGAGCACAGAGGAACCCTCGCCAAACCTGACCCTTTCTAGAGCCTCACCCTGTTCTGGTTTTGGCAGCTTTAGCCATCTATCCATTTCAAAAGGCTGATCTCAGCACTTGTTTTTGTTGCTGATTTTTACATGAAACACAAGGATTTTGGCAGAAAGCCAAAAATCTTTCAATACCATTTCAATACCTTACCTCAGACATAAACATGTCCGTTGAGCCTTTATAAAATCAATAATAGTTTACTGATTTTAAGGTCAGGAAGGACCACTTTTTTTCCGCTCTGACCTCTTCTGATTAGGTTGGCTAGCTTTTAAATCAAACATATGACAAAAACTTATTGCTTAATGTACAAGACACTTTGGTGCTATAGCAATAGGTATTGACTAAAAAGATACTGAGATGGGGCTATGGTTTACTTATGAATTAAATCAAATCTTGGCTTTTAAAGGTATAAGAACAAACCATAATTGGTTCTTTATTTCTTTTCTTACCAGGTGTCCAGCCTGGTTCTCTAACACTTTCTTTTTCTAGGACTAGATTCTGAAGCTTGAAATTTTCTATGATTCTCTTCTGTAAAAACAGTAACCAGCCTAAGCTGAGAGAAGTGGTTTTCATAGTTCAAACTTATTAATAATTTTGGTAATTCAGATTTCACCAGCCTCTTTCGTGAAAATAGGCTCCAAAATTTTATATACTTATCAATTTCAGCATTTTACATTAACTGGAACAGACGATGTTGAGATTTGCCCAAAGTATTATCTTTCAGACTAAACTGTATTTATTCTTTAATCAAATTTTTAGGTACAAGATATATATATGTGTGTATTTTCATGTGAACCTGTGACTGCTCAAAATTGTACTGAATTGAACTGCAAGGCCCTTACAAGTGTCACTTCTTTACAAGGACTTCATTTTGCCTTGGAGATTGACCTCCATATTATATAACAGCCTCCACTGTGCATGGCAGTGTGCGTTTTCTGATGGAGGCTTGTTGCTTAGCTGAGTATTATAATGTTGGGCGGGCCCCCTTCTGAAGGATCCTCTCCGTCTATTCACTATCGCTAGCATGACAACAGCAATAGTCAGCTCCCTTAGAAAAGATGGACAGGAAAGGGAAGCTATGGAATTCCCTAATCTCTGAAAAGGGCTACTGATACCTTTCAAGAGATGCTGGCTCCCTAGTATTATTTATTATTGAAGCCCTGCAACATGGTTTCACAAAGAGACATGAGACATGAGACATGGTAAGTGTTGATGATCACTTGAGTCCTCCTGATCAGAATGCCAGTGCTCCTACAGAGGTGTCAGCAGAGGGTCCAATGGGAAGAGTGAGCCAAAGAGACCTGCGAGGTGTTGGAGCTGGAAGCAAGAATTAATAGCTGCCTGAATCCCAGGCATTTAAAACAGTACAGATATGGCAAATCTTGCCATATACTTGCCAAATACTTGCAAGAGGCTCATGTTCACTGAGGGAGTCTAAGTAGGAGAAGCTGCTTCAGCTTCTCGTTGCCATGGGGCTCCTTTCAACCTGTAGCACAAGGTTGCTATAGTCTTTAACTCATTTCATCATGACTGTCTGTGTCTCTTAAGTTAAATCTGTGCCCACAGACATAGATATTATAAGTAGATGAGTAATTCTCTCTATCTTGCACCTGATTGTTTAACGTTTCAGCTGTTTGTGTCTTGGCCTATGTTGCTTACACTTTAATAAAATGAGATTTTATGAGAGTTTGAAAGTCTTCTAGCTTCTTGGCTGAGCTCAGCATGGGTGAGCCCGATGTTTCACCCGAGTCACACTTACTTTCATTCCCTGAATGCCTGGCAACCCTCCAGGAGCACCCTGCCGTGCTTTGTCACGAATGCATATTTGCAAATGCTGAGCTCATCAGCCCGTAAGTTTGCTGAATGCGGCCATGGTGCCCAGGCACAGCTGTCCCTTCACTGGGTGTTTTCCAGCCTTGGAGCTAAATTTCCCACGTAGCCACTCTGCCAGCAAGAGGTGGCATTTCTTTGTGGTGAGACCTCGTTGAGATACTGAAAAGCAAACTTCAAGCCTCTCATCCTTTGCTATTACCAGGTTATTGGTACAGTTTTTTTCCCCCTTACAGTACTTAAAAGTGGCAACATCACATAGTTCTGCAGTGGGTATTTCTCTGGGAAGCAAGGAGTGGTTTTTTTCCTCATCTGTCAGTAGGAAGCCTGTGAGTGTGAGAAGTCTCTTCTACAAAACTGGCAAGTGAGTGGCCACACAAGATTAGTGTGGAGGAGGAGAAATGTGGTTGAGATGCAGACCTCCTTTCACTGTGAGAAGGTGTGGAGAGGCTACAGTGTCAGCAAGCAACCTAAGAGGTGGTGCTTCACAGTGCACTGCAATGTCTTGCAGCAATCATTAAGTGATGAGTACTGAATGAATAGGAGGAAGGTAATGATCCTCATCTATATTCTAAGTGCTATTCTTTTTTTCTTATGGGAGCTTAAGAGGCTTACAGGCCTTTTTGCAGCACTCAACACAGGTGATGATGGAGGCAGATCCAGCTCTTCCAGGGCACCTTGCCACGCTGATATTGAGCAGCAGCGTGTGGGTACTGGCCATGACGTGCCCATGGTAGCGGTGAGCACAGCAGCGGTGTTCAAAGCATGGTTTGGATGCCCTATTGCTGGATGTTTACCAGCAAGTGCCGCTGAGTCCATGGTCTCGCAGAGTGGCTGGTATACCAAAGGCTTCAGCTCCTGCACATCAGCCTCTGTTCTCTGTATGCCCTGTTAGAAGCAAGGAATGTGTTTTGCTAAACAAAGGCCAAGAAAGCTGCTGTAACACCTTCTTATCCTGAATACAGGAGTGTATGGCTGCATAGGTTTGGAGCAAGGGAGTAGGATATCTGTGGATGATAGGAAAAGTGTGGATGTTGTTGTTTTGAAGACAAAGAAGGCTGAGGGGAGGCAGCAAGTCACAGCTTTGTGCGCTCTATGACATGGTGCTTGCCGAGGAGCAGTAGTGTCCATGTTGCCCCATTTTGGGTTTGTAAGTTGCTGGTCTTCGACTGGAGGAGCCAAGAAGTGTGAGGAACCCCTGTCCTTCTCCTCTCTGCTGCTGCAGAAGACTTTCTCAGACGTGGTTCCTCAGAGGCCATATGGGAGGTGCACCACAAAGCCCATGTAGTACAGGCCTGCTCCTTCTGTGTGCTCAGTATTGTTGTGATTCATGAATTGTGATGAGACACACAAAGGTCAGGATGCAGGGTCAGTGTCCCACAGCACCAAGGTGTCCAAGTTGAGACCTTACTGTCTCGATCATTGGGACAGGGAAGGGTAAGAAACTAGCGGGACTGTCCTGCTGACCATGTGGTGGATAATGGTTCATCTGGAGGTTGGTTACAGGTGAACTTCCTCCAGGGGAGGTGCCCGAGGCAGCTCTCTGACCTTGTCCCACTATGTGTAGCATGAGCAATGCTCCCAGTGTTTCTCCCAAGTGTTTAACATTCCAGCCACTCCTGGCTGGAGAATGGCCTCAGTGCTGGGGAAGAGAAGCTGTCAACGTCAGGGCATGTGCCCTTCTGCTGCAGCCCAGCCATACCACTTGGGAGCTGTAATGAGCTTCCCCCGAGCATGTCCAGGGAGCAAAGAGGGAGGTGCTTGGGGACATCCGGAGGGTGTCTGAGGGCAAGGAGAGCATGATGGTGTGGCTCTGGAGAGGAGTCAGGCATGATCAAAGCTGATCAGGAAGGATTTTGGGGACAAAAGTCCGAGGAGGTAAGCGGGATCAGACAGAAAACTGAGGAAGCCACAACACTGACTGGTAGCAGGGATCTGCCACCACATTTGGTTCCTTCTGCTCTGTGTTACCTAATTGCTTTATTTGTACTGAAAATAATAAGTAGTGGGAATACCCCTAAGAAAATGAATTTTATGGGGCTCCAAAAGTCTTCCAGGGTTCTTGGCTGAGCTCAGCATGGGTGAAGATCAAGCCACATCCACCCCAGCATTTTACACTTACTTTCATTCCCTGGCAGCTCTCCAGGAGCACCCTGCCATGCTCTGTTGTGAATCAGCGTGTGCAGATGCTGAGCCACCCAT